GTGCTGTGGCTGGCCCTGCTGGCAGAGAGCCTACCTCTGCTTTAGGCACACCTCCATGGCCCACAGACAGCTTTTGCCAAAGCAGAATTCATTTTATACTAGGATCACTGAATACCTCACCATGAATCTAGAATATCTTGAGCCTTAATATGCAGAGACTGGGACTGTCAAGTAAAGCACCCATACCCATAACTCTCATACATCCAACCAGACATGAAGGCAAGCTGTCCCCTGAAGAGGCCCTGGGCCTCCTCCCACACAGTGCCTATAGCCGGAAGAGGCAGAAAATTTCCCTCTGGGGGCTACTGGCAAAGCCACAGTAGGCTAGAATCACCTTGACAAAAGCAACTCTCTGGTCTTTGAAAGTAGATGTTTTGAAAAAATCCTGAATCATTCCTTGTCCAGTTGGGAACCCTGGGGGAGAAGGGAGCAAGCCAGGTGACTTGGGACCAAAAATGAGATAAGGGAGGCTTTCTCATAGAATTCAGAAACTTACTCAAACAGTTCTCAAAGAAACAGCCCTAGAATGGTTTTCACACTGTTTATACATTCATTTTTTTAGTTTTGCCCATCTTTATGCTTTTTTCTCATACTGTTTGTTTCTCTTGAAATACCCTCTCATTCCTCCTCATTCTTTGTATCTCTGCTGAAAGACATTTTAGCCAGCCTCTTAAGGCCCAGTTGAGATGTGGCATGCTCTAGGAAGTCCTTGATTTGCCTTTGCTGACTTCCTGACACCCTGCAGCTAGTGGTCAACCCCTCCAGGTCTGTGGTGGTGTCCCCTTACACCTTTGTGCGCCCTGGAAGACTCACGGTGGCTGTGTGAGTGGATGATGGTGCTGGAATGCTGCTTACATAATATGAATATATTTTCCATTTTAAAAAATAACAATGTTCACTGTAGAAAAAAACAGAACATTCTGGAAAGCGAAAAGTTATCTCTCTGTGAACACCACTGTCTAGAATATCTGTTGATATTTTATATATTTACTTACAGAAATTTTTTGTGTGTAATTGGAATCAAAATATAAAGGTTTGGTAACCTTTTTTTAAAATTTAATATTCAATTAGTATACATATGCTTCTTCATTTTCCGAGGCTGAGGAGATGCTGTAATTTAACATTTCCTACTGATGAGAATGTAGGGTTTTTTCCCAGATAGTGCGCACTGGCTGTAGAATGGCTTTAGACAGTGGCCCATGGCCTGTGACAAGGTCATAGTGTGCCCCCCCACCCAGGGTTTCTTGAAAAGAAAAACTTCAAAATTTTACTGTTTTATTTTAAATTATAATGCTAAATGAATACTGGAAATTAGGGCAATATAGAAAAAGTTTCAATATGTAAGATTACACCAAATCCCAATCCCAATACCCAGAGGCCAACCATTAGTATTGTGGTACACATCCTCCTGAGTACTATTTATGCATGTGCACACATAAATACACACAAGTGCAGTTGTGCTGTACTTGATGCTTCACAGCCTCCTTTCAAGTTTTTATTCAACTACATGTCATGGACTTCTTTCCTTATCATGAATATGGATCTTTATTGCCCTTTTTAATGGGTATGTATTGATCCATCATATGAAGACACCATATTTCTTTTAATGTGTTCTCTGTTGATAGATTAACCTTCCCCATTTTTCTTTTTGTTGAGGGTAGGGAGAGGTGTTATAAACAACGAAGGGAACATAATTTATACATACATCTTTGCACACACTTCTTTGATTTTTTTTCTCATGATAAACTCCTACAAGAGGAACTGGTAAAATCAGAAAAACAAGAGGTGGATAGTGGATAGATCTATTGTTTGATTCAATTCTGAGCAAATAGAGCCCCTTGGAGCCTGTCCAGGACAAAGTCTGAAGGGCAGTGAACTCCCCTTTCTCTAACGACCCTCCCTCTTACAGATTGGCCCGGATTCTCGTCCGCCTGCCGGCACTCAGGCTGATGAGCTCCAACATAACAGAAGAACTTTTTTTTACTGGTCTCATTGGCAATGTTTCGATAGACAGCATAATCCCCTACATCCTCAAGATGGAGACAGCAGAGTACAATGGCCAGATCACCGGAGCCAGTCTATAGTGCACACCACACACCTGCTGAGGAGCAAAAGTGTCCTCCCGGGACCGCTCAGAGACAAAGAAAATGAAGTAGTAGTATTTTGGTATGTGCAAATATTTCCAGTATGTTCATCATTTCCTATCCGGTTCCTTCATATCTGTTAATCCCAGGCAATAGCAACTAAAAGACTAGTAGGATCCTTTCCTGCCATAAGGAATGTTTTAATGCCTTTTGATTAAGCAGCAGATTTTGGAACAATCTTTTAACTCAATTTATATTTAGAAATTCTCAAAGGGCAAAAAACAAAGTTTTATAATGTCAGAGACTAGTATAAAAACTAAAAGAACCTAAGAGAACAGTATGTGTGTGTATATGTTAAGAATGTCCTTGGAATTAATAGCTACTAATTACCAGGGTAATAATATTAGCACTTTCTAAGCACTTATCGACACGTAATGTTAGCAACATCTTGTCTGTGTGCAGGGCAAATGGAAAACTGTATACATCTTTTGCCGAAATGCTAATAATTTCTGTGAAAATGCAATAGGGTACAGGAGACAATCATTTACGTTTAAGAAAAGGCATCATTCCTAAATGTATGCACACTTTGGTGGTATTGAACTAAATTCCTGTGAGCAAATGAAAATGTGGCTTATCTGTAGCATGCGGAAAGTGGGAGTGTACTAGCACAGTTGGTGGTGACCCAAACCAAAAGCTTCCTCAGTCATAGAACTGGTGCTTATCAGGTTCCCTGACCTCTGGTCCTGGTCTGTGATAGGCATTCGCAGGCTTCTCCAAACCTGGGGCGTCTTTGGATGGCTGGTTCTCAGAATTGGATTACAACCAGTCAGACATTAATTGCCAATTCCTGCAGCAATTGACAACATCCCCAAATCACCACTACCACCACTATGGCAGATGGAGCCTTCTGACCAAAAAGTGCAAGCTGGGCATTTTGAATCCTTGACAGTAGTACTTCCTGAATACAATCTGGGGTGGCTGTAGTTTTCAGATGGAGGAACGTGGCCTCCCTGGAATGTGAGGGCTCCCCTCTGGGGTTTCTACTCCCAGTGCCCCTTGAGAAGGGCCTGTGTTCCTGCAGTTCAGTACTACTATGGGGGTATGTGTACAGGATCTTGCTGCCTGGGTAGGGCAGTGGGGGTGAAGCTGAATGGAAGGGTTCTCTGTTGACCTTAAATTTTATCAGGGTTTTTCAGAATGTCTCCAGACTCGGCATCACTGTTGGCAAGTCTTTCAATGGTACTGGCCCACCGTGCACTTTGATTCCCCTAGGTGTGTGCCAGCAAACAAACCCTGGAGCATTTAGATGATGAATGCAGAAGCGGGCTGCCTGCTCCTTAAAAAAATAACCCTTAACCCAATTATCTTCTTTCTCGTAACTTGTAGCAACCATCATTTACAAGAACAGAATATGGTTATAAGAAAGTTCTGTCTAGAGAAGAGCACCCATAAATTCCCATGGATGTGAGTTGCAGTGGGCATTTCCTTTGGGAAAAGTGGTATGCCCAACACTGAGTCAAATACTTTGCATTTTCTTTTTGTGTAGCCCAGAAAATAAGAAACTATAATGTAAGGTTAAGCTTGCATCTGTTAAATCTTTTGATCAGATGGTATCCAAAAAGATCCCAGTGCACTCCTTGCCTTCCAGGCACTCCCTGGTCTGGCTCGGGCCCTCGGTCAAGGTGGGCACTTAATGAGATGTGCATGGGTGTTGGGCAAGTTGGCCCATAGGCTTACGGCAAAATGGGATGCTTTATTCTGAAGTGTTAGCAGCACTTTATGAAAGTCATTAGTGAGAATTAAGTGGGGACAGTCTCTTCAATTCTAATTCCACTTTGGATTTAATTGTCATTTATAGTTCATGCCTTGGAGAATAGTAATGGTGCCCATTATAAAATGATGGAAAGGATAATTTTACCAGCTTAAATTTTTGGCTTTCTAACTTTGAAGTGATTTAAATTTCAAAATTGAAGACAAAAAACTGACCAAGACAATGGAGTTAGAGCAGGTCTGTATCATTTCTGCTTGTGAAGGGTTTTAGCCAAGGGCATTTTGAAGCATGTTCATATATCTTACACAGTGAATTGTCCGTTTTTCTCTTCTTTGATTTTTAAATGTAAGCGTGTCTATTGATCACAGAATGGCTCCCTGGAAATATATATTGTCACATCTTCCATTTTGGAGTTCTCAGTGTTGGTGAAAAGATCCACACTGGCCAGCTCCCTCATTCCCAGAGGCAGGCCCTGGGAGTCCTGATCTATTAGGCTTTTAGATTCTGGTTGCCTTAGGATATTGAGGCAGCTTAGCCAAGACCTAGGCTGCAGTCCTGACAAAGCCACTGTTTAGATATTTTGGGAAGAGAAGGCGATAACTAGCAGGACGACAGTGAACACTTACATAGGGAAGTGCCACACTCTTAGTAAGATAGCCCTTGAAAAAAGTCAGTTTAGCTTAGGAAGTTGCTGTTTCTAACCTGGTCCTTTTCCTTGAGTCCCTTCACTGGTGATGGCTGGTTTCAGTGGACCATTTGGGGTTTGCACACTCCTTAGTTTCCCAGATCCTCTTGGCCTTACTCTGAAGTGGCCTGTTTCTTAAGGATCTGGTCCACACAACCTGAATTCTCGTTGCCCCAAATCATTTCAAGCTTTTTATAGCAGGCCTATTCCATCTCTTGTCAAACTGACTAAAAGTAGTAAGCTCAAGGTCAAGAATTATTTAAAGGGATCCCAAACAGATATTTGGGCTCAACTTCCACAAAGCTTTCAAACTCTAGATTTAGTGAAGTAGACCAGCCCTCTGCCTGCTGAATCTGAGTGAAATAAGGCAGGAGGATTCTTTGCCATTGTAACCTTTTCACACATACCCTTCTGCTGGCCTAGCCAGTCCTCCCCCTCAGTGAGGAGAGGTACACTGGCTACAGGAGGTGGGGACAGACATACACAGTCACTTTGTGATGAAGTGGGCTCTCTTCCAGTGGTATCTCAGATAATATTGGATAGTTATGTGTTGTTGAAATTTGTGGAGTTCCTTACATATAATCATAAAATAGGACAGGAAGAGACTTAGAAAAAGACCAAATTACTCATGCAAATAACTTTCCAAGTTATTCCTGGAAAGTATTTTTAAGGCAGTATGTTACCGCCCTTCTAATTTGAGATTTTTGTGTGTTTATTGGGGATTACATTATTTATTGTCTAATCTCTATGGTTGGGATTCTTTTCTTGTTTGGGTTTTATATTTAATTTCAGGTATAGTCACTTGTAAGATATGTAATATCCCTCAAGAGGGATTTTCTAGCTTGTCATTGTCAGTATTAAATGTGGACTCTGTTTTGAGGCAGTTGCCACCAGTCATGGTGATAGCAATGGACATGTCTGCTCGGGGCTCCCCAAATGCAACTCACTCACTAGAGCTTGCTTAGCAGTTTTGCTTGTTTTGGGGACAGCCATAGCAGGGAGCCAAGAATTAGAAGGGCTCTGGCTGTATCTAGTGCTTTTATTCTGGGAAAACCACATCCTATCCTTGGGGGTAGTTTCCAGCAGAGCAGTCTCACTCCCTGCCTGCCCAGCAGCCCTTGGCTGTGGACCCAGGTTTAGTGACCTGGTTAGATTAGAGTCTGGAAGCACATGGCCGCCTTTCCAGTGGAAATGGCCTTATGTGCAGTGGGGCTATAGGTATCATTTCAACTCTTCTCTGAGCCCAGGTCATGAAAAGTGTCATCTGACATTCACCTTTATCTTGGGAGGTCAGTGCCCTTTAGATCCTGGAAAGGTCTCAGCAGGCAGGGCAAATGACCCATGCTTTTGTCCCATTTCCATTCCCTAGATTGTGTAGCTCTTTGAAAATATTTTAACTTTGATGTGAATTTGTAATTGAGACAGAATGGATTTGGGTCTCTTGTACACAGGGCTTTGGACCTCCCCGTGTGCCTCCCACCAGCGTTGCACAACTGCGTGTCCAGCCCTGAGCTCCCCTCAGCACATTGTGCGTGTACAGATTATAGACTTGTATGACTGAATGAATGTACATGTGTTTATATCTTCTATATATGTACAGTGTATATATATAGTGTGTGTGTGTACATAGATGTATATTATGTATACAGACATGTAGCCACGTATCCAAACTCTCCTTATGTTTTAAAGAGAATCTATAATAAGAGTTGCTAAAGTAAATTGATGTGGGTGTTCCAAGGTCCCTCAGCAGGATGGATTTGCTGAGATTTTAACTCCATTTTCCTTTGGGTGAGTCTGGCTGGGAAAGGCCATGAAGTCAGAATCTCTACTTTGTACCAGGGAAAGTTACAGACAGAAAGGTCCTGACAGGATAGCATTGCTGTGTATTCTCTAGGGTGAGACAAGACCTAGGAAGCTGGAAGACTGTTCATCTTAATGTCCAAAAAACTAGGTGGGGATCTTTATCCTGGTTGCTGCACACCTCTTTATGGCCTAACTGGAAGGAACTTGGTAGCTTGAGCTGTTGGCCTTCCCAGAGACTCACTGTCCTGTGGTCAGTTTCAGAACGGTCTGTGTCAATGGGCCCTGGCTCCCAGTGTGGTAGCAATGTCCCTACTTGCTCTGGACTTAAGTCAGTTGGCACTGCACTGTGACTAACAAATTCCCATCTCTCTAATGCCAGTTGGGGAAAAAAAACCCATCTACTAAGTATTCTTTAAAAATAAGCATAATTGTTGTTGGCTAACTTTATGGCATATTTTAAGTTATAAATCTTAAATTACTTCAACTATAGCATGCGAATAAAAATCCACTGACTTTCTCTAAATTATGATTTTAAAATTTTAGATTAAAATTGTATTTTAACATGGATATGCATGCCCTTAAAGCTACAGATGCCAAATTTTCCTTGTCCAGGTCTACTCTGGTGAATTTTTCCCCTAAATCGGGCTTTAAACTGATACACGGCACTCGGGAGCCAGGCCTCAGCCCAGCTGTAGTTGCTCGTGGACCTGGTAAGCACAGGGGGCCTGACTGGTGGGAAGGTTGAAAGCTAGTCTGCTGAAAGAGATCACTGGATAACTGCAAAAACATAACGCACAGGTTGCTGCTTGTTTTTTGTTTTGTTTTTTTAATCTATTGAAATGTTAGAAAACATTTCATTAAGACCATAGTACTCAGTGCCTTTTGTGAGACTGGGCCATTCAGCCTCCAGCTTCCCCATCTGTGATGTAAAGAAGCTTCTGCTGCTTCACTGGCCTCCCAGCAGTGATTGTCACCTTTCCCATGTCCTTGCCTATTGTGACAATCACTATTGAAGGTAGCTTTCGGGTTCAAATAATACAAATGGAAGCTTGACAGTCTCTAAATGAATCTTTAAAATAATTTTCCTTTGGGGCTATGTGTATTAGCAGCAATCTGAAAATAAACTGAGTTTTAAAAAATATCTTGGGGTAAAGAATGTCTGAGATATTTTTAATGCCCAGCTATACTTTCTATTGAGCCAATAATTTGGGGGGGGTCTCAAAATGTCTGCTATATACAATAGGGAAAAAGGGGTATAAAAAATAAATGCTGAAAAAATGCTCAGCAACATTTATCAATTGACAGACTGATAAAGCTTAATATTTGGGTAACATTTGGAAGTAGACTTTACATAAAAAATAAATGGCTTTTCTCTAGGAAAGTATAATCAGTTGTCATTTTAACAACCAGAGCATTCATGGACTCAAATGCTGCTGCCACATACAACTCAAGTGCTGGAATATTTTTCTATATCCTCCCAATTATCTTGTAAACCAGTGTTCAACTAGTTTTATAACTGAAAAGCTGCACATTTTTCATAGTACAAACCATAGTTTTTACCTGTAGTTTGGGACTGTTAAAATGTAGCTAAGTATTACCAGCCCTTTTAAAAGATGTCTGTTAAAGGAAAACTTGGGTGTTAGATTTTCTTGGGACCGTTTCTGTAACCTCTGCCCTCCCCAGTATAGAAAATATTGTTTATGCCATTACATTTTAATTCCAGGTTTAAAACCTGTTGAAAGCTATAGCTTGAAATCAGCTTTATGTGATGGCATTTAAAAAACAGCATGTTCTTTTTAAATTGAATTTTATATCTAATCAATGTCTTCAGTCTTGAAGAAGAATTTGCATTGTTGTGTTTGTATATAGAGTATTGCAGTGCATGAATTAGCTTTATGCATTTTATTAAATGCTGTTTCAATGTGGCATTATTGTTGTGGCTTAATACTACTACCTAAATGAGGTTTATACTATTAAAAGTTAATTAAAGACTAATGTGCATCTTGCTCATCCTTTTTCCTCACAATAGTAATAACAGTAATGGCCGACCACCAGCAGTCCCCGAGCGCCCTCCCCTGAACTGAGTAGGTGGTGAGGAAGCGCCCTAGTAGGCAGAACCCTGTAGCTCTCACCTTACCTTAGCCTCGGCCAAGTGACTTAGTCCTGTCCATTTGATGGCCCACTGCACACTTATGTTTCTGGAACAGGGCTTGGGCTGCCAGACCTCACACACTGCCATCGCAGACACAGAGCTAGGCCTCAAACCAGAGGAGACATATTCTTATAAGTTTCAGAATTCATCTGATCGCTCATTTTATAGGTGAGGATTCGAGGTCCAAAGTCAAGATTCTTGGCAGAACCCATTGGCAGCCAAATAGTTTTAAACGGCTTGGCCAGGTAGTACTCAAAGAACAAGGTTGGAAACCATCTGGCAAACATTGGTTATGCAAATAAAGTTAAGAAACATAATGTCAATCATAAAATCCTCATAGCAATCTTCTCTAATTTCTCCCATTTCTGTAAATTTTAAACCCATATTTTATCATTGTTGAAGTAGAAAATGGAAGACAACGGTTTAAAGACATAATGCCCCCAGTGGTGTTTATTTCCATGAATCATCTCCTGTCTATGAAATAGCCCCTGCAAACACTAACAGCAAGTGTGCTTTCCCTCAGGCACTGGGCATTAATGAAAGAGGGGTCACTAGCTTGGTTCAGGGCAGTCCTGGTTAGCTGCCTTTCTGGGCCCTGTGGACCATGGAGGGAAGGAATACTTCCATAAGGCGTTTTTGTCTCACCAGCTGTGGAGACAGACCAAAAGGAACAAACTCTCTGAAAAGGCCTAAAAGCCCAATAGAAAGCCCAGTCAGCAGGTTGAAGGCCATGCTGCAGTCAGCCAAGTAGGATTGTTAAAAACATGTCAGGAACTGAAACCAGCACCCGCATAAGGGATTAGAATGAAGGATAGATTTTTTTTTTAGCCACCCTCCAAAATGGTGATGGGGGAGAGGGATTTTGAATTTCTGTTGAACAAAACTGACATAAGCCTGCTGAGTTACACCTTCCCTTCCCTTCCCAATCCCCCCACAGCTATCACCCTGAACACAGGTCTGGTACAAAATCACAGTAAACCATAACTTGAACATCAAATGTAAAAAGAGCCAGGTTTCTCAATTTAATGGGATAATCTCCAACATTCAAATAAAACACATTCTCGTTTCACGACATTTTCCACAGCTACCTACCTCATGGAGTAATGCCCTTATTCCCATTTTACAGAGAATGTTAGGCCTTGACCAAGGCTCCCATTAGAGAGGAACTCAGACCTTAAACCTACTCTTCTAAGCCCACCTTCTTGCTACCTCCCATTGGGCAAAGTTTCCTGGTCTGTTTTTCCATGGGTCTGTAGTCCAGCTGGTCCTTTACTTTTGACCAAGAAAAACCTATTCTTAAAGTGACCCTAGAGGGCTTTGGTGTCTCCTAAGGGCTAAAACCAGCACAACTAAAGTGGCAGCAATATCAGTGTCCTAAGGAGGAAAGTACTACTAGGCAGGTCCTCAGGAAACCCCACACCCTCTTCCAAACCTTAAATCAAGAACTGAACAAGCAAGAAAGTAAACTGAGGCAGCCTCCACAGCCAGGCTCCTCAGGAGGAAAGCGTCAGTTGACTAGTTTTCAAAGTGAGCACTGCACAAAGGGTTGCCCTGGGGTTTCTGAAGAAATACCCACAGAGCCTGAATGGAGGGGATATCCACACTGCCAGCCACAATTAGCTCCAACCAGACTCAACCACAGCAGCTCTTAATTCTCCAGAGCAGGGCCTGGAAGAGTCGTCGAAACCAGTGGAGACCAGGAAAAGGCCACAGGAACAAGATGGGAATGTCAACAGGCTGTGGCCTTACACCTTCCTGATCACAGAGTCCTGTCCCCATGCAGGCCTTCCTCCTTGTGCCTATCAGACTGGATACACACCATGCTGCTGGAATGATTAAGGAGCATTTTATTTTCAGTCTCTCTGGGGACAGAACCAGGGGCTTCCCTGTGGCCAAGGTAACCCTAGCCTACAGGCCTGGGGCCTTAGTCCTGGGCACTGGCTTTCAGAGTCGCTTTGTACTTCCCTGTCATCTCCTTGGGTAATGGCACCAAGGCTGGGCAGGGCACCTGCCCTTCCACCTCACAGATGCACTCCCGCAGGCAATACTTTCGAGGTCCAAAGTGGGCTGGGTGAGAAAGCTGCCTTTTCTCCTGCTCCTCTTGCTTGAGAGTTTCCCTGCCAAAGAGCACAGACAGCAACAAGGTGTCAGCATTGCTCTGAGCCTCTGTGAAGCACAGGACTTCTTGCAGTGAATGCCATCAGCCAGGGAGACCTGGATCTCCTGTCCCCTAACATGCTCCTCACTCCCTAAACCTCTCCCTCCCTCACCACAGGGAAAGCCTTCAGTGTGTGAGCAGTGTCAGGCCTAGGGGAGGAGGTCACTTGGAAAGCACACTTGCCCTACGCCTGCAAAGGAATAGTCGGACTTCGACACATAGCTGAGAGGCAGCCCCATTTCTGACTCATCGGACAGTCAGGATAAAGGGGCCGGCAAATGCCTCCGTGTGCTTTCTCAAAGACATTCTTGGCTTCCCTCCCTGTTCCCCTTTCCTCCATGGAAAGAAAAGGGATGTCACAGCAGGCCCCGGAGTTGGTCACCCACTGTATCCAAGCTGGGATGTGTTTCTGGCCACACAGGGCAAGTGGGAACTGACCCCAGGAGGGAGTGATGACCTTTATCCCCACTTCACAGTGGAGGGAGTTACAGCTCAACAGAGGCTCAGTGACTTACAGTTACACATCAGGTGAGCAGCAAAGCCAGACAGAACGTCCTCTCCAGCCCACACTCTGGAGCGTGTCTGGCTCGCTGCCAGAGAGCCTGCCCTCTTGACACCCTTCCCAGCACATCCCTTTCCTCTCTCTCGAAGTCTCCGGACTAAGGCATTTGCCCCCCTCCAGGTCAACCCCAGCAACTCACTCATTCTTCCCCAGGATCTTTCTGATGTGCTCCATGATTTCTTTATTGCTCTTGGTCTCTACATCCACGAGAACCTGCTCACCAGAATCTGAAAAAAGTAAAAGGGGGTGGGGCTGAGAACTTGGAAGAGCGCTCCTCAGTCTCAAGTGGTAGTGACTTGGGATTTGCTGTTAGTGGAGAAGTATTTTAACAGTAAAGTAAATATATTTATTTACATAACCCACAATATATTACCCTTCCTTTTTCCATATTTCTTTAGACATGAGCAGACATAAACTTTAGGCATGTACAGAAGCATACTATGTTAACAGGAAAATTTCATGTTCATGGATAGAAAGGTTCAAAGTCATTAACTTGGCAATCCTCCCCAAACTGGTCTACAAATTCAGTGCAGTCCCTATCAAAATCCCAGCAGGCATTTTGTGTAGAAACTGACAAGCCTAAAATTCATGCAAAACAATTTTTAAAAACAAGAAAATGGAAGGATGTTCATTTTCCAATTTCAAATTTACTATAAGCTACAGTTATCAAGTCATGTGGTACTAGCTTAAAAACAGACTACAGAGTAATGGAACAGAAATGGGTCCAGAAATAAACCGTTACATTTATGGTCGATTGATTTTTAGCAAAGATGCCAAAACAATTCAGTGAGGAAAGATAGTCTTTTAAACAAATGGGACAACTGAATATCCACGTGCAAATAAATGAATTTAGACCTTTATTCCCAACATTAAAAAAAGAAACAACAAAAAAAATTCAAAATGGACCAGAGACCTAAACGTAAGAGCTTAAACTTCTATAAAACTTTGGAAATGGAAAATCTTTATAACCTAGGCAAAAATACGACATCAAAAACATGATCCATAGAGAAAAATATGATAAACTGAATTTAAAAGTCAAAACTTTTGTTCTTCGCCCGGCCGGGCGTGGCCCAGCGGTTGAGCGTTGACCTAGGATCCAGGCGATCGGGGTTCGATTCCCGGTCAGGGCACATGCCCGGGTTGTGGGCTCAATCAACGACTCTCTCATCATTGATGTTCCTGTCTCTCTCTCCCTTTCCTTTCCTCTCCCTGAAATCAATAAAGATGTATTATTTTTTAAAAAAAAAACTTTTGTTCTTCAAAAGGCACCATAAGCCACAGACTGGCAGATAATGTACACAGTACATACATCTGATAAAGGACTTGTATCTCAACTATATAAAGAACTCTCAAAACTCAAGAAAATCCAACTAAAATATGAGCAAAATATTTGAATGAACAACCAAAATTAGTCATTAGGAAAATGAGAAAATTAAAACCACAATGAGGTATTAGCATGGCTGGCTAAAATTTTTTTAAATGGACAATACCAAGTGCTAGTGAGGATGCAGAGTAACGGGAGCTTTTCTACACTACTGGTAAATGTAAAACATTACAGCCAATTTAGCCAGTGAATCAAGACCAAAAAAAGAAAAGGAAGAAAAAGACTGGGAAGGAAGAAACAAAACAGTATTTGCAGATGACATAATTGTGTATGTAAAAAATTCTAAGGAATTTAGAAAATAAAACTGTAAGAAAGAAATGGATTTATAGCAAGGTTGCAAGACACAATCCATATACAAAAATCAACTGTACAAGCCAAAAAACTGGAAAATGAAGTATTTAAAAATACCATTTACAACAGTCACAAAACATACTCAATATTGTTAAAATGTCCATTCTCAAAATTATCTATAATTCCAATAAAAATCCCAGCATGCTTTTTTCTAGAAACTGGCAAGTTTTAACGTTTATATGGAACCCAGTCAGTATGGCTCAGTGATTGAGCGTTAAGACTCATAAACCAGGAGGTCACGGTTCGATTCCCAGTCAGGGCACATGCCTGGGTTGCAGGCTCAATCCCCAGTAGCAGGCGTACAGGAGGCAACCGATCAATGATTCTCTCTCCCTCTTCTGCCTTCTCTCTGATTCAATAATAGAAAAACACATATTTTAAAGTTTGTATGAAAATGCAAAGAACCTAGACTAGCCAAAGTAACTTGGGAAAAAGGAGAAGAAAAAAGTTGGATTTATACTACCTTACCTTAACACTTACAAAGCCACAAAAACCAAGACAGTGCCGTATCAGTCTAAGCACAGACAGACCCATGAGAGAGAATGAAGAGTTCAGAAATAGGGGGTCAAGTGATTCTTTTGTGTGTGGTAAAATACACAACATAAAATTCACTATCTTAATCATTTTACAGTGTGTAATTTGGCAGTTTGGGGTACATTCAAAATGTAAAACTAACACCGTGATCTAGTTCCAGAACTTTCTCCTCACCCCAAACAGAAACCCTTTTACCAATTAAGCAGTCCCTTCCTACTCCCCATACCCTCCCACCCTGATTTCAGTCTATAATGGACTTCTAAACTACAGAGCTGTAAGATAAGAAATTTGTGTTGTTTTAAACCACGAAGTCTGTGGTAATTTGTTACAGCAGCCACAGGAAACTAATACAAATAAACAACAATTTGAGTGATTCTCAAAGCCTGCTGCCTGGAGGGTGAAATGGCTCAATCATTTTGGAAACCTGTTTGGCAGTTCCTAAGAACATTACACATCTATTCTGTGTCCCAGCAATCCCATCCTGAGGCATAGGCTCTGAAAAGCTGAGCACCTACAAAGACAGCTTGTGTGAGGAGGTACTGACGAGTACCTTATCTCAGGAGCCAAAAACTGGAAACAACCTTTCACAGCCAGGGAGGCCCGCCACTCAAAGCTCCCTTCGAGGAAGCCCTCCTGTAAGGAGGAGCAGCCAGATGAAAGCCCAGCTGCTATGTTTTTGGGATCCACTACAGCAGCACCAGAGACAAGCCCAGGCTCTCCCTGGCTTAGGTCTAGGATCTGGCCATCTCCGCCCTAAGCAGAGCTACAATTTCCCACTGGGCTGGCCCACACTTCCTAAGAGCTCCATCATCATCTAAGGTGCCTTCTGTCCAGACCTCCTTCCTTCTCCCTCTCCTTTTAGAGATGACAGTCCTGGAACACAGCAGAGGGGACCCCGCACTCACCTAAATAGAATCGAAGAAAGGGTGATGGTGTCATGTTCTTAAACATTATGATCTGCACCCAAGGGTTTTTGTATTGGATCTGAGGTATGTTGAAAAATACAAATTTCCTGCAAAGGAGAAAAAAATTAAACCATGAAACAAGAGTTAACCTAAAATTCTGCATACCTAGGTATTTATTTTTCAAGGGAAAAGGTCCAGAACTTTCATCAGATTCTCAGAAGACCCTGCCCCCCAAAAAGGCTGAGAAAAGCAGCTTTCAGGAATGTGTGTGTTCTCTGAGTGTGGGTGTTCAGACTCCTGGTTTGTCATCTGAGGGAAAAGAAATCTACATCCGACCTCACACTGCACACTAAGCTAAACTCCCCAAAGCAGAAGTATAAATGTAAAAATGGAACTATGGAATATCCTTGATCTTTATTTGAATGGTGGTTTCATGGGTGTATTCATGTGTGTACTTCATGTAGATTATACCAAAATTTTAAAATATATAAAAACAAACATGGATAATATTTTTACAATCTTGAAGTGGAAAAACCTTTAAACTTAGAAGGTTTAAAATATAAGTAACTATGTTAAAACTTCTGAGGCCCTGGCCGGGTAGCTCAGTTGGTTAGAGCATCGTCCTTATAAGCCAAGTTTGTGGGTTTGATCCCTGGTCAGGGCACATACAGGAATCAACCAATGAATGCATAAACAAGTGGAACAACAAATCAATCAATTAATCAATCAATCAATCAATCTCTTCCTCGAGACACCAGTCTCTCTCTCAAAAAAAATCAACAAATACAAATTTAAAAAAACAAAACAAAAAACTTTTGCATGGCAAAATTTACCAAAAATAAAATCATTCACCAAACCAAAGGAAAAACATTTGTAAAACACAAAAGGCTAATTCCCTTGTGATAGTTTTACCCATCTTAGTTAAGATTTACAGTTCAACAAGAACAAAAGGCAAAGACCACAAATACGCGGATAGCCCAAATAGCCTATCAGCACGTGAAGAGATTATCAGTATCTTCCCAATAGTCATGTAGATCAAAATATAATTGTTTTTCACTTCTTAGATTGCTAAAGATTTTTTTTTAAGTTACAGAAATTCCCTAGCCAGGTAGCTGTTAGTTGGAGCGTCATCCCATACACCAAAAGGTTGCGGGTTGGATTCCCACTGGGGGCACATACCTAGGTTGCGGATTCGATCCCTACTCGGGGTGCGTACTGGGGGCAGCCAATCGATGTTTCTCACATCCATATTTCTCTCCCACCCTTCCTCTTTCTCTAAATCAATAAAGCGTATCCTTGAGTGAGGATTAAAAAAATTAAAAGTTACAGAAGTGAGGAAACATTTCCTTCAGAGTATAAATTGGTTTAGCCTAAAGGTAAGTTTGGAACCAGCAAAATTTTAAAAGCATAGATCATAACTCTACTTCTGCTTTTAGATATTTTCACATTTTAATGCAAAGATGTATGGGTTTACTACAGCATTATTAGTTACAGCAGAGGCACAGAAACAACTTAAATGCCCCTCACAGAGATCTGATTAGATCGTTACAGTACTACTGTATATTTGGATCCCTCTCCATCTACTCTCCACCCTGAATGGCTACCTATGTGGGCTATGGAAATGGGATTCCTTGCCCTCTGGATTCTGTAGCATTCGGCCAACAGGAAGCACTCACCAAAGACTGGCAGGAGGGAGTAGAGTCAAGGTGTTTATTTCCCTGGCTTGTCCCCTGGCTAAGTCCCAAGCAAGGCAGCCCTCTCCAACTCCCCCTCACTTCTGCAAGTCTAGACCTGGAGTCTTGCACTATTCCCTGTGGTTTCTTTTCCCCAATCCTCCCCACACCTTTGTAAATAGTTCCTTAATTAAAGGCTCCCGAAATAATCTGAATTTTTTTATTTTTTATCTTTTATTGATCTTAGGGAGGGAGAGAGGGAGAGAGAAACATCAATCAGTTGCCTCCTGTACAATGACCGGGGATGGAACCTGAAACCTAGGTATGTGTCCTGACAGGGAATCGAGCCCACAACCTTCTAGTGCATAGGACGATGCTCCAACCAACTGAACCACACTGGCCAGGGCCCAAATGATCTGAATTTAAATGCTCCCTTGGCACCCTGCCCCATGCACCAGAGGACAGAAAGGTATGAGTGGTACAAAGGACAGAAGCACAGTCGCCCAACTTCCCAGCTGCGTGACCCAGGGCAAGTTAGTGCTCTGTGCTCCAATGTTTATGCCAAGGAGATGGCAATGCAAAACAAGCAGTCCAGATTGGAGCTTGATGTCTATTTTCAAGAAGATAAAATTGACAGAATCAACAGAAAGCCTGGCTGTGTGACTGTTTAGTTGGGGAGACTTCCAAAATTGGGGCAGAATCTGAGTTGAAACAAAAGAAAAACAATGACAATTATTAATTCCAGGGAAAACAAAAACCTCTGCAAAATGAAAAAGGACAAATAATCATGGTACTCTGTTTGGCTCAACTGTGTATAGTGTTCACAGAATCATATTAATTTAAACACTGAATAGTCTATCCACAATTCTGAAATGAATATATTGGGGGGGTCGGGTAGTAGACATGTGCTGAGGGTAGGGAATGGCGATGGTAGTGAAAGAGCTAAAGCCTCATTCTCCTTAGTACGTACTAGGTAACGTCTAAAGCTAAGAAAGTACTAAGTAGCTCTCTAAGTTATTTAACTATATGGAGGTAAAACTCTAAATGGTTCACACTGAAAGTTGTTGCCTCTAGGGGAGGAAGTGGAAGTAGGGTGCTTCTTATAAGCCTTGTAGACCAGGACAGCACACAGGGCTAGACACGCAAAGGCTGAATTTACCTTCCTGGGCCTAAGCTCAATTCCCATCCCACACCAGAGTATCCCAACATCACAGAGCTTTGTACAAATAAACCAAGAATATCCGTGTAGGAATTTTTCACACCTAAAACTACTAAGACAAAGATCCAACAGGGTCTTTAAATGGTTCTTGCTGAAGCATGGACGGAAAGTTAATAAGTAACTGTTACTTATTTTTTAAAATATATCTTTATTGATTTCAGAGAGAGGAAGGGAGAGGGAGAACAGAAACATCAATGATGAGAGTCACTGACTGGCTGCCTTCTGCACGCCCCCTACTGGGGATCGAGCCCACAACCCGGGCATGTGCCCTGACCGGAAATCGAACTGCAGTCTCCTGGATCATAGGTCGATGCTCAACTGCTGAGCCACACCAGGCCTGGCACAGTAGGTAACTTTTAACTGCTGTATATGCCAGACACCTTACTAGGCACTTTATTCTCGAATTCTCACAGCTAGGAAGGTAGGGTTTTACAACTTAAGGAGGTCAGAAAAATTAAGTAAACTGTCCTAGGTGAACAACTAGTAAGTGAAAGAACCAGGGCTGTGATTAGTGTCTGGACTTCTTCCACACTGTTCTCCCATTATCAAATTATCCAATCCACCTAAATCCTGAGGCTCAAGGCTAGACACAGAACTCCTTAAACACTAGCAGCTGTTACTTCTCTTACTGCTTCTTAAAGGCAAGAACACCTGGCACAAGTGAGTAGGGACTTAGTCCTCGGGCACTAAACAAGGTAGCTCCCCATACACCCAGCGGATAGCCCAAGAGTAATGGCTACCCCAGGGCTGCAGTACTGGCCACTAGCACTTGGAATGGAGGGACAGCCGAAATGTGGAGGTCACACAAGCAAAGGCCCGTGGGACTAGAAAGTGCAAGTCAGGCAGGTTCAAACCCAAGGGCACGAAATCCCAAAAAGGGCACAGGTGGGAAAGGCAGCCCTTACCACTAGGAGCAAGAAACACATGATGGCTGTTTGTATCCTATTTACTTAGAGGGTATTAAAATACTTGAGCAGCTGAGAATAGGGCTTGCAGGCCTATTTTGATTAGCTGGCCATTTAAATACCAGAAATTTACATAAAAATCTGAACTTCTGGCTTCTTGACAAATCTGAAATTCTCCTGGAGCAGACATGGCTAAGATGTAGGTCAAGCAGTGAATGCCCCTTGAGGCAGGGCATGTTTTTGCAATTCACCCAGGCCCATCCAGCCTGCCTCCCTCCTGTCTGGTACCTGCCTGGCCTCTGCCCTGTGATTCCTGATGTGCATATGTGCGGTGGGTTATGAAGGGTGCCCATTCACCGCCAAAACCAACTCTTCCAGGAAGCCTTCATCCTTGTTGATCCCATGTAAGCAGGTCCAAGGTCTTGGGTTCATCTATGGAGCGCAAACGGCTAAGAGGTAGCTTATGGCTATCCCGGACAGCCATGCAGTGAAGGCCCCTCTCCACTGGGGACCACCCTTCACAGGGAGTTGCTCTTATGCCCCATTCTGACCCATTCCACAGACCCAATCTCTAAGTTTCTGCAGGACAGGACTTTTTTCTTAGTCACTGCTGAATTCCCAGCACACAACACAGGGCAGGGCCTAGCATTCTGCAGGCATTCAATAAATTTATACTTAATACCAGAAAAGCCCAAAACACGGCTGTTGCCTCAAAGTTCAATTCAAACCTTTCACTTGCAAGCTTCCATTCAATGAGTCCCTACTCTACCCTGGGGGCTGAAAACCATTACGGCGTTTTGTTGTGTGTGTGTGTGTGGTTGGTGGTGGGGTTTTTTAGATGGGGGGGGGGGACAGGACTGACTACATACACAGCTGACTAGTCAATTATAACGGTGAGGAGTCCTGCAAAACAAGAACTTTCAGAGCCACCATTCACTGGCTCTGATACTTTGGACAAGCAAGTTACCTAACTTCTCTGTGCTTTTCCTCAACTCCAGAGTGGGGATAAAACAATGGGGTTTCTGTACAGACCAAATGAAGAGAATACACGAGCATTCAGAACCGTGCTGCACATACAAGAACTCAGTAAAGGCCAGCAGGTGTTCCTTCTCTCATTGCATCCCCACCTCGGCCCTGGGGCATTGGCATCATCCCCATTTGGGACACTGAGGAGGTGCAACTCGCCCAAAGCCAGGAGCAGGTGGAAAAGGGACCCGAACAAGGTCTGTCGCCCCTGGGCTGGGCTCCACCCAGGCCGCCTGCCGCCCCTCCCCACTGCTGGCCTGGGGTGCACAGGTGGTTAATGAAGCTGTGGCCTCCCGGGGTTAGCCTTGTCCTCTACCCCGGAGGAAAGAGGGAGCCCTTGTCCTGCTCCCCCACCTCAGCCTGCACGGCGTGGCCCAGCTTTCCGCTTCTCCTTTGGAACCTGGAGCAAGCGGCTCCAGTCTCCAATTCTGTAAAATGCGGGCACTAGCACCAACCTCGGGGGGCCAGCCCCAGAATAAAGCGCAGCCCCAAGTCTCTACGTTACTAGCACGTTGTTACAATCACCGGGGGCGGCCTCACAGGGCTCGGACTGACCTGGCGCCTTCGCCCAGCTCCCCATGCGTGTTGTAGTTCACAGTCATGACCTTCACCGAGTCCTTGAACACCACGTTCCCCTGGCCCAGGTACTGCAGGGTACGGCGGATCGGGAAGCGGCCCTTCATAGGCATGGCGGCGATGGCCCTGCCGCGAAGCGAGCGGCGGAGAGAGACCAGAGCAGCAGACGCCGGTGCCGCCGGGGCACCTAGCGCCGCTTCTCCTCCGCGGTTCCACTTCCCGCGCAGACTCACAGGAGACTCCTCCCGGCGGCCAGCGCGGGTGCCGCAGGGCAGCCTGGAACTTGTAGTCCTGGCTAACGGCGCTTTGAGACCCGGCTTGAGGTGCGAGCATGAACACCTTCACTTTGGAGCACTCTCCTCTCATTTTTCTATGTATTCGTCTTCTCCCCCACAAGGGAAAATATTTTTAAATAGGATCAAACCCAATCATTCAGACAAAATTACAGCAGAAAATAAATCAGGAGAGCTGAGTTCCAATACAAAGTAGGGGAATAACTTTCTAGTCAACCTTAAATAAATACGTTTTTCTCAAGTTCTCCAGTTTCAAAATGAAAGGCTCGAACTGTGCAATTTCTAACATTGACTGAAAAAACTGACTTGCAAAAGAAAAATTAAACTTTGGATATACCTCTTCCAGATTTGGCCACTTAACAGCTCTGGACCTCAAATTTTTTTATAAGCAAAATGTTGATGAGATGCATTTCCGAAGTACTACTGTTATTTTTATTTCGCCTTCACTTTTGAAGGGTCATTTTGTCAGATATAGGACTCTAGGTTCATGGAGGGTTTTCTTTCAACACTTAAATTTTTCACTCCACTGTCTTCTTGCATGGTTTCTGACCAGTAGTCAGCTGTAATTATGTTTCTTTATAGGTAAGATAGTTTTCCTTCTGGCTTCTTTCAAGATTTTCTCTGTCTTCGGTTTTTGCAGTTCTAATAAGATATACATAGGTGTAGGTTTTAGGTATTTATGCTGCTTGGTATCCTCTGAGCTTCCTGGATCTGTGGTTTGGTGACTCATTAATTTTGGTAAGTTCTTAGCTATTATTGTTTGAAATATTTCTTCATTCTTTTTTTTCCTCCTTCTGGTATTCCAAGTGTCCCAGAGTTCTTGGATGTTCTTTTTTTGTTTATTTTCTTTTGCACTTAAGTAGGAAAATTTCTGTTGACCTATATCTTCAAGCTCAGATTCTTTCCTTAGCTGTGTCCAGTTTACTGATGAGCCCATCAGAGGCATTCATTGGAGTTTTTTTTATTTCCAACATTTCCTTTTGATTAGTTCTTAGAGTTTCCTTCTCTGCTTACATTACCTATCTGTTGGCATATTATTTATCATTAGACTCCTTAACATAATGTTATTTTAAGTTCCCTATCTAATAACTCCAACATCTGTGTCATATCTGAATCTGATTCTGATACTTTGTCTCATTAGACTGGTGTTTTATTTCCATGCCCTTTTTTAGCATCCTCGTCATTTTTGTTGTAAGTCAGACAATATTGCCGTATTGAGTAATAGGAACTAAGGTTAAAAAAAAAAAAAAAGGCCTCCATATGTGAATTTATGATAATCTGTCTAGCAGTTGAGCTGTTTAATGTTTGCTGTAACTGTAGGTGCCAGAGACTTCAAATTCCTCTAGTGTCTTTACCACCCCTCACGACTTTGGGCTTCCTTAGATATCCTCCTCAGAGAGTTTGTATTTTGTAGCTCTTTTAGCTGTAACTCACTGCTATTACTGGAGCCCTGTTGGTGTGTGGGGAAAGAGGAATCAGTCTATCATCTTATGATAAAATCTCAGTATTTTAGTGGGTCTGTGCCCCTGGGCTATGACCTTTGTGTTTGTTATCCCCCTCTGATGTTATAAAGTAGTAAATAACCTGTTTGGCCTTTGTTCCTGGTTCCTGTTCAGAGCTCCTAAAAGCCTGTGATTTTCTTAATGAGATAGGAGCATCTTTTGTCATAATCTCTGGGTTTTGTCCCTATTCCTGAAATGACTCGGGGAGAGATAAAAGTGAAAGGAGCATCTTTTATTACTCATAACAATCTCTGGTTCAACCACACCAGTTCATGCAACTTGGGACTTTTGGAAAGCCCCAAGGGATGGGGCTGGTTGCCAGAACCATGTGATTAGAGGATTGGAACTTTCAGCCCTATGTCGCCACCAACTTCTGACTTCCAGGGAGGAAAGAGGAGTTGGAGGTTAAGTTACTCACTAAGGACCAATGATTAACTCAATCATGCCTATGTAATGAAGCTTCCATTAAAATAAAACAAAAAACAAACCCTAACTGAAGGGCTTGGGAGAGCTTCCGGGTTCGTGAACACAAGGTGCTGGGAGAGTGGTATGCCCAGGGAAGGCATGAAAGCTCTGTATCCTTTCTCCCATAGTGGGAACCCCCAATTTATAGCCAGTGGGCCAGAAGTACCAGGGGTCCACACTTACAAATGGGATCTGAAGTGGGAGCAGTCTTGTGGGACTGAGCCCTTAATGTGTGGGGTCTGACAATAACTCCAGGTAGATAGGGTCAGAATTGAATTAAATTGTAGGACACCCAGCTGGTGTCAAAGAATTGGTCAGTGTAGGAAAAAGCCCACATATACATTTAATGTCAGAAGTGTTATTAGTAGAATTTATAGAAAAGCAAGAGTTTTCTTTTATCTTTTCCTTACTTAGTAAGACAGGAAATCTAGAAGGGGATGGAGTGGGTGAAATGTCCTTTCCCCAGGCAGGATTAGATCTGGTAAGGTCTTTTCCTTTGTGGAATGCTGAGTTTATTTTACAATGGTTACTCTTCTTCCTTTGTCAGAGCCACCACGGGATCTTTCTCAGCTCTTAACTGTGAAAACCTGGAGGTAAAACCCATGAAAGTGTGGGATCTCCCTTAAGCTGTGGCCCCCAGTAGTTTCTCACTCTCATGCTAGTCCACACTCTGCATGCAGCAATTCATCAAAATATTCCTAACAGCTACAGGTTCCACTGACTTCTGCTCCAAGTAAGCAGACCTCGGCTGTGACTCTCTGAACTTACTTACCTCTTTCCAGATTTTGGGGTAGCCCTGCAAACTCAGTTCTCTGATGGGTCCAAGAAAAGTTACTCATTTTCAGTTTTTCCAGCTTTTTGCTATAAGGACAGGAGTGACAACTTCTAAACTTTGTGATGAAACCAGAAGTTTGTGATGAAGTATTTTTTAAACTGTGAGAGTTTTAGGCAGAAGAGCTTTTGATCTTAAAGTCCACAGGAGGGGCTTCCTATGGATGAAATACCCGATCACACGTTAGAAACATGAGTGTCCATATACATAGCAGGTCAGGGCAGTTTGGGTTTTGGAGTCAGACAGACCTGGGCTGGAATCCCAGTGATACAACCCTGAGCCTGCTTAATCTCACAGCACTCATTTTTTCATCTGTAAACAGGTTGTTGGGAAGATTAAAAATGAGGTAATCCATGCATAATACTTAGCATTCTGTCTGGCCCACAGTGAGCACTAAATATTATCTCCTCTTGGCTCAGTAATCTACACAGGTCCTAGAAAGTTGTTTCAAAGGCTCAAGTGATGTCAATATCAGAAACCCATTCAGCAGCTCCTAACCTGCCATTCCTGCTGCCTTTGGGCCAGACACAATGCTTGAGCACTCCCACTGTGCCTGACCCAGATCAAACCCTCCTTGCTACTTAGAGCAAAGTGGGTCAGGCAGGCCAGGCTTTAAATCCTCATTCCACCACAGACTAGCAGCGTGACCCCAGCCAGGCTGCTTTCAACCTGTTTCTTCAGTCAGATGAATACCTGAGTAAGTGCCTCACAGGCCTACTAGAAGAGCTAAATGAAGAATGTGTGAAGATGTAGCAGTGCCTGGCACAAATGATAGCCAAAAGTTTCCTCAGCCTTGCCTGGCAGGTTTCTTCCAGTGTGAAATGGGGATAATAGGATTGCAAATGGTGTTACACTATGCTTGTGTAAAACGGTGCATTTAATCAACACTGCAGGAGTAACTGGGGATAAGAGAGGCCTTAAACTGGTAAAACAGGAGCTAGGGCTATCTTCTGATAGAAGGTCATTAAGAAAGTAGGGAAGGTATGTTACTTGGTGACTCCCATGCAACAGGCATGCACACATACACACACACCCCCAACCACTAATATCTGTTATTTTATTTTTTTAAAAAGGTTCCAATACCAGGCCCCAGCGCATGCAAATCAATGGCCCTCAAACTCTCCATCATTGTCAGATGACCAGCATAATCTGCTACCACAGACTATAACCTGGTAAAGAGACTAGCTTCTCACTTTGAGTCCCAAGCTAACCATACAAATGTCCAACCTACCACATGGTTCATGATCAGGTACATTTTAGTATCTGAACAGCAAAAACACAATGAGCTGTAAATACAATGAGTGAGTATCCTTAGTGTATTAGACAGGGAAAAATACAAACAAGGCATAAAGGAAAAGCGAAAGTCTCTTCCATATTTGATCTGTTTGTAGGGAGACGTGCCAATGCTACATCAAGAACTTGCTCATTTTCTGATGGAGGGCACCATTTTCCTTGAAGGACTGCAGGAAGGGTGAAGTATTCACATGAGTCAAGAACCCAAAGTTGTGGCTGCAATTCATAGGCCATCTCTTCCCTGATATTAACCTACCTTTGCAATCCAACTGTGTGCCTGTGTGACTTCTGGAAAATGGTACTGCTGAGGGATAGAGAATTCTAACTCCTATCACAGGAGTCTGTGATTATAGGAGAATACAGTCATGGTTAGAATTAAATGATTCATGGAAGAGTATGGCCATGGAAGAATTCAATCACATCAGAGAGTTTTAGTTTGGTTTAGGATATTCAGTGATTTTTTTTTTTTTTAGTTTTAAAAATGTCTATTATATGTGGTTCTCAATGCTCTTAATTACTTATAGATTGCTATCTATGGTTGATTTCAAGAAAAGAGTCTGTTTAGTAAACTAGTCTTAACTGAAACCAGTAGCTAATTAAGAGAAATAGATTCTCATAAGAAAAGTAATTATGATGAAAAGCAGCATTTAAGAACTACCTGCTTTTTAGTGGAGAGAGCTTCCTCCTCTTCAGTCAGAGAGAAATGAAAAACTGGAGGAGCATGAAACACTCCAGAATTACAGCATGAGGGGATGGACCTCAAGGGAGAAATGATGCCTGTACGAAGCAGCATTTTAAGTGCCTGAATGCCAACTTCCCAAAACTACCATAACAGTCAGCAAGGTTGGTACTGGCTGATGTTAGTAACCCACTCACATCCGTTTGTGATCAGAACCCAAAAGCAAAGGGTCTTCCACACACCTTCCACTGACTCCCCATTCCCACACTCCTATACACTACCTTTTCATTCTATCCAAAGATCCAGTGGGTGCTAAAGAAATGTAAATAGTGTCAACACAAATACAGATTATTTTTACACCACAGTGTTTTTCAAACATTTCCAAGATCAACAAGAATCTTCCCAGAATGTAACAAAATGAATTTTAGCCCTCACATCAGTAACCAGTGAGAGTATGACCCCAGAGTTAGTTAAGGGGTATAAAGTGACTAGTGGCCAGTTATTGTTCATTAATTAACAATTATAATTACAGGAACTCTACCCAGAGCTGAGCACGATTGGGTATCATGATGTCAGATGTCAGTTAAGGGTTATGTTCATGTAAACCAAAGCACCAGAGCTAAATTAACAATTTCCCTTTGTGCCCTTAGTTAGTGAAGAGTTCGAGTGCTGCGTGCTACTAGAATGGTCCTGGGTTGTGCTGCTTCAAACATTTCAGTATCTTAATGCTAAACATTGGAAAGAAAATATCTCAACTGTGCCCCAGGTCAGGACAGGATGAACCGAAAGTGAAGACCAATCAACTAATCTTGAAATTATTTTGATTTACCTTCTAACTTAGGGAAGCTTCTATTCTCCTCACAATGTTCCACAAAAACTTCCTGATCACCAATTCCTAAATTATAGACTGGGTCCTTTAAAAAATCCCAGGTACAAGTAATTTTGCCAAAGCTCTAGGTTTCTCCAGGGTCAGATAATTGTTCCAGTAGTAAGAGAGAAGAGAGCAACATTTCGGTGGAGACTCTTCTCCCGAATAATACTACCTTGATCGACCAAAAAGTTAAGCACTTCTAGTTTCTAAAAAACTCATGATCAGACTACAGTGATAGCTCAGCACTTGGAGTTTAACTTCCCAAAAGAGACAAATGAAAACTTCAACTGAGAGGGAAACACACTCTAGTGAAACCTCATCCCCATCATCCTCTTAAAAAGAGGTGCTGGGCTCTCCTGGGTCTAAACTAGTACCTCTCCAGCAATATCTCCCCCTTCCACTGCACAGGCAGGATGTACCCAGCAGGGCAGAAGAAGGCTCAGTGAAAGGAACCCATAGCCTAACGAGGTCAGACTTCTTCCAGAGAGTAAGGTTTAAAGGAATCCACCGTGTCTGTCTTGGCTAAAGGAAGGGCCCTATATATGGCTGCCCTATAATACTGCATAATGACCAAAGACTAGGCAGGAACAAATGGGCCCATGATGTGCACAGCAGGACCCAAAAGAAATGCATTTAGTTATATCTCAGTAGTGAAAATTTAAAGTCCCTTCCAAAGGGAAAACCCAATTTTTTTTAAAAAGCCCAGGAAAAACAGCAAGTGAATGCTGCTGCTTCCTGTTCTAGTTCCCATTTTATTTTTCAGTTGTAGTGGAAAAACCTCCAAGTGCATGGCATGAAATAGCAGATTTCCTCTCCTAACCTGTGTGCATCTGAATTCTCATCCTTCCTCCTTCACATCAATCCCACCAACCCTCTCCTGCTCCACTGGCTCCTGCCAGGCCCCTGGACCCAAAGGTGTTCTACCCACCCAGTGATCAGTCAGTGGACCCCTTCTGTTTGGCCAGGGTGCGCTTCAGCTCCCTCAGGTTCTCTGTCAGTACCTCCACCTCATCCAGGCGACCGCACTGCTTGGCATCAAAGATGTACGCCTTGATGTTATCAATCTGCTGGAGGAGGAGCTCCTCCTCTATGGGCTCCTCACCCTCTGGCCCACTGTCACTATCCATCTCGAAGGGGTTGGTATAGGTGGCTCCCTCAAAGGGGTTGCCAGGAACACGAGGGCTTGAGGGCCTCTGGTGAGGACCCTCATCTTCCTCATTGAAGGGGTTGGATGCTGGGCTGTCTGAGTTAGTGAAGGGATTCCCTGCCACTGCCGCCTCTCCCTCCTCTCCCTCCTTTCCCTCAAAAGGATTGCACTTTTTGAGGTAGTGGTATGACTCTTCTTCCTCCTCTTCTTCCTCTTCCTCCTCTCCCTCAAAAGGATTGTACTCTTTGAGGTAGCGGTGTGAAGGGCCATAGGAAGGCTCTGCAGTAGGAGGGCTGGTAGAGCCCTCTGCTGTGGGGCTAGAGAAGTCTTCCTCATCAAAGGGATTTAGGGAGGGCACCTCGTGTTGCTGTGACATGGTGCTCTTGGGGAAGAATTCCTGGCCAGGGGCTGCGGGCCCAGACCACACTCTGATAGGCTCAAGAGCTAAGCTAGGAGAAGGGCTCTCGGAAGCTGCACTGCTCTGAACTGGGGAAGAGCCCAGATCCAAAGCATGAGCAAGGTGGGTACAAGGCTCTGTGCTGGGCTCCAGCTGAAAAGGCCTGATTTCTCGGAAGTCCAGGGACCGGGTCCGTGTGTGCACGGATGCCGCCTGGAACTGCTCCTTTTCTCGTTCCCACTCCCGTTCACGCAGCATCTGAAGCTGTTCTCGCTGCAGGTCCTCCTCCTCAGCCTGCTTGCGAGACAGCTCGATGGCTCTCTCGGTCTGCTGCTGGTCATATTCGTCCTGCAACTGCCGCAGGTTCTCCTGAAGGATGCGCACTTCATCTGTCCGGCCTGCGGCCTTGGCCTGCCTGATAAATGATGTGATGTTGTGGATCTGCTGGAGGAGGGGGTCCAAGTCTTCACTCTGCCCCTCACCTCCTGACAGCGGGAGCCAGCCCTCAGCCTTTCTCAAGGGGGCAGGGCCCCTCTGAAGGTATGCCACCTTCCCGTTGGCACGAGATGGCAGGTCACTCTGCCTTTCCTGGAGCCTTCGCTGGGATTCCAGGGAAGTCTGGGGAGACATCAAAGCCAAAGAGAAGAAATATAGTCATCAGGCCAATAGCAGCCACACCATCACTGCCCTTTGCATTCTCGCTATCCCTGTACCTGTGAGACTCCAACTGCCCACTTCAGGACTAAGACAGCAAACCGCTAAAATCAAACCATGCTTTTGTTTCAGGGAGAGAACAGGGACAAACCCTGATTTTCAAAAAGAAAATAACAACAGTAAGCTAAGAGATAAAATTTTCTCAATCTTAGATCCACTGGCCATACACTTGTCTTAAAGCACTCATCTACATGAGAATCTCACACAGTATTAAATATACATATCATTTTCTTTTTAATATTGCATATTCCAAACTATTCTACAAAGAACTCCCTGGTGCGTGAGTCCTCTGCAACCTATAACAGAGGGAGAACAACCAGTCCTGATGGTGTTCTGGACAGGAGAAAACCAGTAGAACCTCTGAAAGGAGACTTGCAAAGAAAAACAATTCTGATCTCTACAAAAGAGAGTGGGGCCAGAACGGAAGAAAAATGGAAACTATAGAGAATGAGAGGTTCTGATTTACAACCTCACAGGACCTCTTGGGAGCCTGTGGAGGCCTCTGTGCTCGAGTCCCACAGAGGAAGCCAGATGCGAGCATCCCTGAGTTTCACTCACCTGTCTCTCTAGCATCTTCTTCCTTTCCATCTCCTCCTTCCTTTTCTTTAGTTCCTCAAACTGTTCTTGGGTTGGCAGTGACATCAAACCAAGTAACTTTTCCTACAGGGAGTCACAGACAATTTTATACTCAAACCTTTTTTAGGAAAAAAATGAAACTTAAGCCCTGTGGTAAGAGTCCATTTAGGCTAAGCCACTCCCCATCCTTGGACAGTCACATTAGTTAGCAGTTTCAAAAAAAGACTAAACCCCCTAAATTGGGCCAGAGAGTCAACTTCCAAATGGGCCTGCCTGTTCCTTATGAAATTATCAATACCAGATACCCCAGTTATTCACCTTCTTAATGAGGCCTTTTCCCTGCCCTGTCTAAATTTGTAAGCCTCCACTCGAGCTTCCTACCACCCTTCCATGCTTCATATTTGTCCACAGCACTTTTCAACATGAGCTATATATTTTAGTTGTTTCTTGTCCATCCCCTCGCTGGAATAGAAGCTTTATGAGAATAGGAATGTTGTCTTTTTGTTTATGGCAGGACACCCAGCACCCAGAATATTGCCTGGTACACAGCAGGCACTCACCAAATGACTGCAGAATATAGCCACTCTTCAAAAGGAGAAAGGGCCTAATTCTCTGTAATACAACATTGGAAAACTAACCCAACAGGACTCTATTAGATCTCTCTCTCTCATGGAGCCTCAAAGGCAGTTAAATGTGACTCTCTGAGGGGCTTTCTGAGGTAGAAACAACTCAGATCTAACCACCTAGCTTTAGTCTGATCTTGAATAATCAGCTGTTTCCTCTCAACCAATGGCCGAGGAAGAGTCCCTTAGGAGCTTATCCCAAGGAAGAAATGCTACCTACATATATATCCACCAGGCAATACTCAAAATGGCAAAAAATGGGAATCTATCAAATGCCCAATGAAAAGGAAATGGTTAAATAAAGGATGGTGTATATGTCAAAGCAGTACTCTGCAGCAGTATTCAAATGAGAGCTATTTGAGGGCTATGTAAAATAGTACTATGATATAAAACTCAGTGATAAAAAGAGAAAACATGAATTTTCAAATATATGACAAAACAATTTATATAACAAATTTAAATGGAAAAAAGAAGAAGAAAATATATCAGAATAATGTGTGATGGTACTGGGGACATTAGGATTAAAGTAGTTTTTACTTTTCTTTGAAATCCAGATTTTTCTCTAAATGTGGCATAATGCACTTACAATCTTAAAAAATAATAAATGTGCAAATAGAACAAAACAAGCGATTGGCTTGGTCTGTCTCCTAAATGGTAGAAGAGCAGGGGAGGCAAGTGCAATGTTTCTGCCACCCCACGATGGCTTTACCTGCACAAAAAGTGTAGACGAGTATCTGATCATCCTCTGCAGCCGCAAAGTGTTTGGATGTGGTGGAGGGTCCTGATTCAAGCCTAAGGTTAAGATCTTCTTACTGAATTGGAACAAACACATCAATGTAACAAGTGCTGCCAGCCTCAGAAACAAAGTCTCTGAGTTGCCAGGCTTGCATGCTGGGAAGATTTGTGAAGGAGACAGATTAGAGACTCCACTGAAGTGCCCTTGAAGGCAAAGCCCATTTCTTACCCTTTGGCTGTACCCAGGGCCCCTAACACAGCACAGGGTACATGACAAACACTTGGCCATCGACGGACTGACCACATGTGCAGGGGCAGTTTCCTGGGGGAGTGACATGTGCAGCCACACAGGGTCTGGTGCTTAGAAGAGCCCTGTGCTTGGTTTAATACGCTGCTGTCACTGTCTTAAAATTCTTAATAATTTTGAATAAGGAATTTGCATTTTCATTTTGCACTAGGCCCTGCAAATTACATAGCCAGTCCGGCATGTACGGATGAACAAGGATTCCTCATCTCAGTTCTTTCCCTCTGAGTCACTGTACTTTCTACAATGCAAAGGGCTGATTTAACTCCAACAACCAGTCCACAGTTAAAAAGCAGCTGTTGACGTGAAAAAAATAAATCTGGGTTTCCATCCTGGCTCTACCATTTTTGCTAGCTGTGGTGCATTCTCTCACCTATAAAATGGGGATGTTAATCCCTACTTCACAGGGTAACTTTGGTAGAATAAATGAGTTACGCTATATGGAAACATCCAGTGGTATTTCCTGGCACACAGCTGGTGTTCAATAAACTCATATTCCTTTAATAATAATAATGAACACTAGAAATCCTTAACCAAAAGTTACTGAGATGTGTTGAGTTCCAAAGCTGACACCTTCCTCAGCCTCCTCCTTACACATACTGCTGTCACCAGGATTCTAGGTAAGCTCAGATCTGCTAGTCACCCAATACCTCATTAAAATAGTACCTCCACTCAAGGCAGCAGATAAGACATCACCAAACAGACCTTACCTTAAAGCGTCTATTAGCTCATACACTTTCTGCACTTCTACTCGAAGGTCATTTGCATGTTCCAGCCTGTAGGTTGTCTCTCCAGCACTAAGGAGAAATCACAGAGATTTTTATTTTAGGTTTTTAAATTTTTTATTTTCAGAAAATATACATCCAGGAATCATTTTATTTCTACTGTGGAAAAATTATCATGAATTATTCAATATTTAATTGCGTTAAGATAAATTGGGCTTTCATATGGTTTAGATACATCTTTGAAAAGCTAAATTAGCTTACTGACTACTGAATCTTTTACATTAACCTGAGTTTAATTTTCACATTACCAACTTTTTAAAAAGGCTTTTATTGAGAGAGAAACATCGATGTGAGAGAGAAACATTGATAGGTTGCCTCCTGTATGCACCCCAACAGGGGACAGAACCCACGACCTGGGTATGTGTCCTGACCGGGAATCAAACCAGAGACCTTTTGTTGCACAGGATGACACTCAACCAACTGAGCCACACTGGCCAGGGCTCATTAGCAATTGTTTTTATGGCTTATATACTCACTGAACAATTTTTTCAACATCATTTTAAATGACTGAAAGACAAAGTCTCCAATATGTATGAAATAAGTAAATGTATATTAATTAGAACACTTACTTTCTTCAAGAAAAAAACGTTAATGGCTTAATCATTAATTGTCCATGCATCAAAGTTTAGAAAATCAATCACTTGGAATTTCTGTTTCAATTTGCTAGCAAATATCATACTACTTAGAAGCCATTCTAAGTTTCATTGCACAGATTAGAGAGTATATCCTAAGAGGAGTCTAAAGGTTTAAGGCCTCACAAAGGGAGACAGTTAATGCTCTCCAACTGGCATTTCAGGCTTTTATACATAATGTAGTACTCATTCCTTTTCAGAATAAGTACTAATCTAGCCCTGGCCAGTTCTGTTCAGTGGTTACAGCGTCACCTTGGTTGTGGTTCGGTCCCCAGACCTGGTTGGGTACATGTGGGAGGCAACCAATTGATGTGTCTCTCACATCGATGTTTCTCTCTTTCTCTCTCTCCCCACCTCCTTCCCTTCCTCTCTTTCTAAAAAATCAATGGAAAAATATCCTCAGGTGAGGATTTAAATAAATAAATAAATAAATAAATAAATAAGTACTAATCCACTGAAAGCCGCTTTTCGAACACTATATGGACAGACTCATGCCTAGGCCTCTGAGGACTAGCTCTTAAGCTCATCACCAACATAAATGCAACTTAATCTGCTTTGGCCTATTTCCCCTACACAATTTCACTATATCATGAAGTTGTTTACTAAACGAGTTGGTTACACTACATCAGAGCAGAAAACACCTGGCTTTTCTCACTCGCAGGCTACCCAGGGACAACAGGAACAACTGGAAAGCTGACCAAGGGATCCCTGATATTGATATGCAGCACAGCATTGTATCAATTGCCCCATGCTCCTGGTTTCATAAGCAACTGCTCCCTACCTGAGAAAAGCACTTTGACTCCAAATCAAGAAGAAAGGAGAGGGAGGAACTCTGCCCAGGATATAGCAAGGGACATCAGGGAAGGCCAGAGGTGGTTTAACTCCAGTATCAGAGAAACAACAGCAGTTACTGTGTGATCTTAGAATTGTTCATTTACAAATCTGTTACCCACACCAGACTGCTGAATTCCAAGTGCAGTGATTGCAGCTTTTCATTTTTACGTCCTTAGTAACTAGCATATGGGCCAAGCTTAATCAGTGTTTACTGAGAAAAACATTTCAGAAGATCTTACAGCTATTAATCCAGCCTCAGCATTGGCCACTCAACCACCCTTCTGAGGCAGCAGCAATTTACGTTAAATAAGCAGAAAGGACTGCTGCGTTTACCTATTTTACCATCTACAAAACAGTCCTAGCTGGAAAAATATTGGTGTATGCTGTAATTTGAGGATTCAATAAGGTTTTTCCATTATCTTTCACTGCACAGTTTGCAAAAAGAACATCGGACTAGAATTGAGAAGACTTGGTGTTTTATCTCAGTATCTCCACATCACATGGAAAATAACAAGATTGGCCCAAATCTGAAATCACTTCCTGTGGTCGCAATCATGTCAACCAACTGCATTTCCCTCAGATCAACTATCACATCTGAAATTATCTTGTTCATTATTTGTTCACTTGGATATAGCCTGTGTTCCCACAAAAATGAAGCTCCACAAAAGTAGACAGTCTTCACTGTTCATTGCTGCAGCCCCAGCACCTAGATTAGTGCTAGGAATAGATCTAGTGCTTGATAAATATCTATTGAATGAAAGAGTAAGAGAATGAAATGCACTTAAAGCCCTTTAGAACCAGCCTTTCTAAGGGGAAGGAGTAGGAGTTAGACATCTGAAAATGCACTCAGCAATGGTAGTTCCCCAGCTATCTAAGGAGGCCTATTAACCCACAATTGTGTCTGAGGCACAAAGAAAAAACCAACAGGACTCAGAGAGAGGAGTCCCTCAGTAACAATTTCATGGGGAAAACATTGAGTGCCAGCTCAAATTGCCAGGAACACAGCTCTCCTTGTTGATGTCCACGTGGAAGACAGTCCTGCTCTAATGTCAAACCACTGGGCAGGGATAGAAGGAAAGGTGCTGATTCCAGAAAGCTTCTGGGGGAAAGCAGCACAAGACACATTCTCCAAGCCAAGGACTTTTCATTTCAGGGAGATATATATCAGAATTACCTGGAGTTCTTCTTCTAACCTATTCACATAAAGGGCAGATTAAGATTCTTGCTCAGTGAACTGCAGGTAGAAAAGAAAATGGGTCCTTTCCCTGCTGTTCTTTAGAAACCAGTGCCCTAGACTAAGGAATAGAAAGAGGAAAATTGGGGTCTAGGAGGTGCAAATATAAGGAGGGAGGGGCCACAGGATAATGGTGGCTGAGAGGGCTCAAGAAATAGGATTTACTCCCCCTTCCACTGTCTGCTGCCAAGGGCTGAAGACATCTAGTTGTTAGGAGGGAGGGAAACAGGGACAGGGTCTACAATGGTTTCCCTACCTTTTTGCTGTTCTCTTCCCACCTCTTTTCCTCTCCCTGTGGGCTAGGAAACATTGGGGAAAGAACAGGGAAGGGAAGAGACCCAAAGCAACAGAGCCAGGAAGAGATGTAACTGAAGGGGTGTTTTTGCCACAAAACAACTGGGTTTAGTTTTTCATGTTTTGTAAGTCAGAGATTTACAGACTCAAGAGTCAGGAAAGTCCTTAAGGACTATTCAAACAAAAAAGTTCATTTTCTTTACATATAAGACCCACAATGGGCTTAGAACATGGTCACTGACATCATGAAGGAAAAGCCAAGCTTATACCCTACGCAATATTGTCACTGTAAACGTCCAAATAAAAATATAGGTTTGTTCTAAACAAGACACATCTAATTTTATATGCATTGCTACAAAAATGACAGGTGGCAACACAGACTTAAAACAAAGGCAGACAATCCTTAAACTGAGAACAGTGGATATCATAATTTTTTCTTCTGAAGGTTGGGAAAAGACTGTTGGGATCTGACTTAGTTGCAGCACCTCCAATTCTAGCTCATACCTCACTAACCTTCAAAAGGAGCAAAGCTCTTAAGAAAAAATCAGCAAATTTTTCCATAAAGGGAGAGGGGGAATGAGCTATGACTGCTAATGAGTATGTGGCTACTTATTAGGATGATGAAAATGTTTTGTTTTAATTGATTTTAGAGAGAAGAGAGAGGACAAGAGAGAAACATCGATGTGAGAGAGAAAAATTGATTGGGTGCTTCCTATACATACCCCAACTGAGACCAAACCTGCAACCTGGACTTGTGCCTTGACTGGGAATCAAACTGGTGACCTTCTGGTACACAGGATGACGTGCAACCAACTGAGCCACACTGGCCAGGGCAAAAATGTTTTAAAACTAATGCCGTGGTGATGGTTATACAAATTTGTGAATATACTAAAAAAACCCACTGAACTGTACATTTTAAAGGGGTGAATTTTATGGCATGTGAATTTTATCTTCATTTAAAAAAAAGAAGCAGATGGCCCTAGCCGATTTGGCTCAGTGGTTAGAGCATCAGCCCTCAGACTGATGGGTCTTGAGTTTGATTCTGGTAAAGGGCACGTACCTCAGTTACAGGCTCGATCCCCAGCCCCAGTTGGGGCAATAACAGGAGGCAACCAATCGATGTGTGTTTCTCACATCAGTTTCTCTGTGTGTGTCCCCCCCATTCCACTGTCTCTGAAAAGCAGTGGAAAAAATATCCTTGGGTGAGGAATGAAAAAAAAAAAGCAGCAGCAGATGGCAAGCTAGATTTGGCTTATGGGCTGACGTTTGCCAACCCCTAATCTAAAGGAAATGCCTGCTCTAAGGCCCAATACCTCAGTGTCACCCTGAAGTGTAATCTACCCAGGCATAAGCAGGAGGCACATGGCTCCTGCTCACCTCCAGATGCTGCACTTGGCAGTGGTGCCTATCGTCTGAGGGCTTTCCCAAATTTGCTCAATCAGAATAGCTGGGGTCACCTCAACATGGCTACAGAGGACTGTAACAGTGCCACATGGAAAGAGACATGACAAAGATTCTCTGCAGTTGATCACAGAAGAAAAGCACAGCCAGAGTTAAGATTTTCATTTTCAGCTACTAAAGATTTGACCTAAAATGCCAGAAAAGAGTCACCACTGATTTAGAAAAACCAGAGAGAAATAGCTTACTTTAATGATGTTGCCATCCTGATGTACTCAGGAGCTTTTTGGTCCACTTTCTCCATGCAAAGTCGTAGTCTCTAAGAATAAAAAAGAGGTAAGTGGTGCTCTCAGGGTACAGAAAAGCCTACCCAGAAGTTATGCTGTATCAACAGACACATTTAAAATGTACAGTTTTTTTAAATGTAAAAATGCAGATAATGCATTGTTTTGTTTTTTGTTTCTTTTTATTGTTGTTATCAATTTCTGGATTTATAGACCTACTTTACAAGCAGAAAATCTTGTAGGAAGGAAAGAGGAACAAGGCCATCCAGGACACAAGCCAAAGTTTATGGAGGCAGAGGAAAGAAATTAATTGCTACATTCTTCCTCAGCCAGGTGATGCAAGACACCAGTACAAGGCATTGCCAGGGCTTACTTCAAAAAAGATGAAAGCAGCCTGGCTGGCATGGCTCAGTGGTTGAGCACTAACCTATGATCCAGGAGATTGTGGTTCAGTTTCCAGTCAGGGCACATGCCCAGGTTTCAGGCTCAATCACCAGTAGGGGGCATGCAGGAGGCAGCCGATCAATGACTCTCATCATTGATGTTTCTATCTCTCTCCCTCTCCCTTCCTCTCTCTGAAATCAATAAAAGTATATACATTTTTAAAAAGAAAGAAGCAAAAAGCACAGTGGCAATTTACAAAATGATTTATCAGGTCATGAATTCCACATAAAGGATGGATAATAATGGCTACATCTGCCGTTCAGCACAAGGTTTGATTAACACCATTTCTAGTAGCCTGAGTTTTTTCATGGTGATTGCAGAAATACAGCCATTAATGACCTGCAGAACTGCTAACAGGGACCATTCAGTGATCATCAGACAAATATACACTCTTCTTCTGCTCAGAGTTTTGCAGGAGTTGCTTCCTTTGCCAGGCTCATCTCCTCCTCCCCATCTCTTCCTGCCTCCCGGCCCTACCTCCTCAGCTTGCAGGTCTCACCTGGCCATTAGGACATCCTTTCCCATGTTTTTGCACTACATTATGTTCCTCTCAAAGTAGCATCTACTAAAGGTATTCTGGGGTTGCTGGTGGTAATGAGAGCTGAGGAACATGAATGGACTTAAATGGGAAGTTACTCAGACTTGTAAAACCTGAAGCTCTCAAGCGAGTGTCACAGGACTCTTCATCACCAGCTCCAGCTTCTGCCCTCACCCACAGAGCCTGTCTACACCGCTTGGCAAGCATCCTTTCTCCTCTTGTCCCTGGGCCACCAAAGCCTCCAACCTGTTCTCAAAAGGGCAAGAAAGTGAGGGAACAGGTTTGTGGCAACACACCCAGGATGACTCTGTGACTCACCTAGGGCCCTAGCTAGGAAATCATACCATGGCCCTTTAGCAGAAACTAAAAATGAGTCAAAGGAACAACTTTCCAAATCATTCTCCAAAATCTGCAGGCATGTATGTAATGAATAGCCAAATCTGCCTCTCAAATCAGACCCAGGACTGCACACATGAGTCACCTCATAGAGCTTCACAATGTCAGGGGTGTGCTCCTTCTCGTCAATCTGCTGCTCTCTCTTGAGCAGTGTGTCCTTGCAATGTGTACAGCAGCGGATCCTGTCATCATCCTTCTCATCCAAGATGGAGCTTACACTGCTCACACTGCTGATGCTGCCTCGGCGGGAGCCATGGACACTGTTGGGTGATTGGCTGGGGCTCGTGTAGGAGCTCAAGGAATCCTTACTGGCACTGGTGAGCTTACCTGTAAAGCACAATACAGGACAGGCAGTGGTGAATTGGCAGCCTCCAGTCACCCCACTGCCCATGACAGGAGGGGAGTCCCTGGGTGTCATTGAGGTAAGAGCAGGCTCTGCCTATGAGCAAGAAGCACCCACATCTCTGCCCTCCTGGGGTCAGGTTCTATGGTGGGAGGGACTCCCATTGCCACCCAGGAAAGAGCTAGACAGCCTAGGACAGCCTGTCTTTGAGGTTCTGAGGTCCATCGCTAGCCTAGCCTTACCACCTTCTGCCCCCTCCATTTGCCCCATCTCAGATACAACCCACATTCTCCCTGGACTGTCTTAACAGCTTACCCCACTCCCAAACACCTGACTCCTACACCTTCCAAAGCTCAGCTCAAAAGGCATGTCCTCCAGGAAGCCCTCTCCTATCCTTGAGGCCTTTCCTATCAGCAGTTCTTACTATGTCACCCCTCATGGAGAACTTTCCACTTTTCTCCCTGGATGACAGGTCTAATTACGCCCCAGAGCTGCCCTAGAAATCTGTGACTGAGGGTAGAAACTGTCTTATTCATACTTGTATCCCTACATGTACGACAGGGCCACTTCATAGCAGTTGCCCAGTAAATGTTGGTTAATTACCCCAAGAGGAGAGAGGTGAATAGTGTCCAAAAAACATAGCTTATAAAGTCTCAGGTGTGACAGGGAGTCAGTCTCAAGAAGAAAGCAAAAGTATCAAGGTAATGTGTGCCTGGTGGATGTTAGAACTTGAGAGAGGAAGCATCTGCTTCTGCTCCATAGACAACATGCAGAGTCAGCAGAACTCTCCAGGGTGCAAAACCACCCAAATGTCCTAGAATTGGCCAAAAATCCATAAGATCATCATGAGCAACCTTTAACCAGCTGAGATTTAGAGTTCTGGACATCTGGTTCCATCTAACCTTTGTAGCCTCATTCCCACAATTCTCAAACATGTCTTCCACACTCCCCAAATACTATGTTTGTTCATCTACTAACTTTCCACACGGCTTTTCCAAATTCCATGCCTTTGGTTCTGCTATTTACCCAGGATGCCCTCCTGCCCCATCTCTTTGCAGTCCTAATCATCTTTCAACATCACCTCCCGACCCTGAGTAGCCAATGCTCTCGCTTTCGCCCAGCCTCCACAACACTGAGTGTCTCTTGTATTATGACATTAGTCTGTTCTATATAACAATTTTTCTCTCAAAGGAAAGGATTAGCCAATTAGCCTGCTGCCCATTTTTCAAGACCTTTTCCTACAGTCTCCTCTCAAAGCCTCATCTGCCACTTTTTTTTTTTTAATCCTCACCTGAGGATATTTTTTCCATTGCTTTTCAGATAGAGTGGAGGGAGAAAAAGAGGGAGAAAGAGAGAAAAACATCGATGTGATAGAGACACATCAATTAGTTGCCTCCCACACGCGCCCAGACCAGGGCCGGGATGGAGCCTGCAACTGAGGTACATGCGAGGTACGTGCCCTTGACCAGAATGGTACCGGAGACCCTTCAGTCCATAGGCCAACGCTCTAACCACTGAGCCAAACTGGCTAGGGTTGCCACTTTTAAGCAGAGCTGATAAAGACTTGCTCAGCTTTCCTGGGAGCCTGATGCAACTCCTCTCAGCATACTTATCTTTTTATAAAGCAATTATCTATATCCCCTGCTAGATGCTGAACTCCTTGGGGGAATGGACAATGCCTTATAGACCAGAGTGGACAAACATGACCTGTAATCCAAATCCAGCCTGTTCTTGTATAGTACTAGAGTTAAGTATGGTTTTTACATTTTTAAAAGATAGTTTTAAAGAAGAAATGTCACAGAGACCATATGTAGCCCACAAAACCTAAAATACTTACTATCTGATCTTTACCAAAACAGTTTACCAGCCTCTGTTGTAGACCATTGTACCCCTGGCCCTAGCACAGTGCCTAGTACTGGACTTCATGGAACCAACAAGTGAATGAATAAAGATCCCAAATGCCACTAATTTGAACAAAAAAGTTCAAAAATCACCCAGTGGTGATTAGCAAACAAGCTAGTCTCAGGAGGACATTAGGGTCCAGGGTCCCGCTTCCATGTTACCTACTTGCCAAAGGAAGACTGATGAGCTCCATACATTTCTTGCACATAATAGACCCGCAAAGGCGGCAGTGGTGGCGGCGGTTTCGGATGCTAAACTTATTCCCACAGTCTGGACAAAAAGGGACATCCTGGTCATTGACCCAAGGCACCACGGACTTTTCTATTGCTTTGAAAAGAACAAAATAAAAACCAAACAAATTAAAAAGCAAGCTATTTTAAAAAAAGATTTGGTCAGGGAGAAATATAAATAGAATAAGTGTGAGCTATGTTCTTAAGAGTTACCTCGGATCTTAGCTGACTCGGTATTTGTTCTGTCAAATGCAGTGAGCTGAAAAGGAGAAAACAGTGCCAAGTGGAATGAATCAGGTGATGGATACACTTTCCATAGGCAAGAGGCATTAAGTGGAAATTACCATATCTGCATTTCTCAACTCTGACCTGTCATCCTCAGTCCCACAAAGTCACAAAAGCAATTTCACGTAGGATAATCTAGAAGGCACCTCCCTTTCTGTGACCCACTTCCAATCTCTCTATTGTCAGTTAGTCCTTTAGGCAATAACCAGATGCTGGCAAATATGTGATGGGGGTGGCTCCTGAAAGCAATGGAGAACTCCCGATTCTCCAGTCTTCCTGGACAATTAAACTAGCCACATATATCCATCCTGCAAAGTACACATAAAGAACTGTAACTGGCCCTGGCCAGCATGGCTCAGTTGGTTGGAGCATTATCCTGTACACTGAAAGGTTGCAGGTTCGATTTCTGGTCAGGGCACATACCTGGGTTGCAGATTTGATCCCCAGTCGGGGCACGTACGAAAAGGCAATAGATCAATGTTCCTCTCTCACACTCTTTCTCTTTCTCTTTCTCTTTCTCTTTCTCTTTCTCTTTCTCTTTCTCTTTCTCTTTCTCTTTCTCTTTCTCCTTCTCTCTTTCTCTCCTCTCTCTCTCTTTCTCTCTCTCTCTCTCTCTCTCTCCCCCCCGCCCCGTCCCTCCCTCCCTCTTTCTTTTCCCCTCTCTAAAAATCAATTAAGCATGTCCTGGGGTGAGGATTAAATAAAAATTTTTTTAAAAAGAACAGTACCTATGGTTGCTACCATGCCCACCACACAATCCAGCTTATATGCAAGAGGCATTTCTAGGGTCAAAGTAAAATAGAGTGATCATGGCATGGAACACGCACTACCACACCAGAGGACAAAAAGGCCCAGCCAAGACGTTGTCACACTACATGATGACCCAGGTGAGTTCTCCTCACAGACCTAGTCACCAGCTTCTCTGTTTGCCAAGAAATGATATCACACGGTATGTCCCATTGTGTGATTATGTAAGGTAGAGAGACATCCTCAGAGAGGAAGAGGAAAGAATCTGAAGGTAGATAGGCTTTTCAGTAGCCAAGTGGGTTTCATAGTAAGGAAAAGGGAAGCTGGATATGTGGCAAGTCTGTCGACCTGGGCTATTCCCTTCAGTAAAACCAGCCAGGCTAGAATTGTCCACCACATGCTCTGTACCTCTCTAGGTAAGGTGTTTCTCTGCCAACATCAGATATTGCCAGCATCAGATATACACAATATACATAAGACATGCTGTAGAAATGTAATTCCCCCCCCAAAAAAAATTTATACTTGCAGAAAAAAAGTGTTTTAAAACAACAAAATTTACCTTCTCCAACCTGATTATTAATTTATTGACTTCAACAACATAGTGGTCAATTCTAGCAGCTCGGTGCTTTTTGAAGTCAGAAAGATGGCTTCTCACAGCACCTAGAAGGAGAGGAGGTGGGGCGATATATGATATTTCTCTGAGGAAGCCTCTCTACCTTGCTGCTTATCCTCAATAAATTTTAAAAGCAAAGTAAAAATTCTAGGATTTTAGAGTCCTACTAAAATTCACATCCACATATCTTTTCCTCTCTAACCATACTCTTAACATTTAATTAAAAATTACTTTCAAGTTCTTAGAGGTGACTGTAAATATTCATTTCTAAAATTTGTCATTCACTTGACCATTTAACAATTTGTGGCTTCCTTCAGTTGTTGAAACAGGCAAGTTAATCAGAAAATCACCCTGATAATTTAGCACTGGCAATCATGAAATAAGCTATCAAAAAGCAAGTAAGAATTCACATGCCTGAAACTTCTTTTTCATGTTTTAATTGACTTTCAGGTGTAACTTTTAATTACATATGTATAGTATTATTTTTAAAGCCATTTTCTCCTGCCATGATGAAAATGTTTCTACTCTCCAATATGGTAGCCACCAGCCACATGTGGAGATTGAGCACTTGAAATGTAGCTAGTATATGGCTGAAGAACTCACTTTTAATTTTACTTAAATTTAAATAACTACATATAGTTAGTGGCTATCACACTGGACAGCGCAGCTCTGGACTTTCCTCATTCAAAAAGGCACATTCTATAGTGGCACTATTAAGAATACAGTAGATGATCCTGGGTAAATACTTCCCATCTTACAGCCTGTTTCCTCATCTATAAATGGAAATGAACATCACTATGCATTCTCTCTCACAAGGCTTTGTGAAAGGTGAACAAGACAATGAATATGGAAGTATAATAAAGCACTACGAAGGAATCATTATTTATCCATTGCACAGACAGAAAATATTATTCAAGACATGAAAGATTAGCTAGTTCAACTTTGTATGCCTGGCATGATCTTTTTGGTAACAGCCTTATTGAGATATACTCACATACATATAACTCACCATTTAAAGTGTACAAATTCAATGGTTTTTAGTATAGTCAGAGTTAAACAACCATTACCAAAATATATTTTAGAATATTTTCATCACCTCAAAAAAATGAATTATTTTGAAAGTAAGTATATGATACTATAATTATGTGCTTCAGAAAATTAATTGCACAAACCAGTGCCTCTCTGTAGACAGGTAACGTCCTATGTGAGAGGAGACAGCCAAGTCCACGGAATCTGTGCCTGGGATCCCTATCCCAGTTCTGCAGTTTCCCAGATGTCTGACCCTGGGCAGGTCCCCATGGGGTGCAGTGAGGATTAAATGAGAGCACACATGGAAATCATTTAATGCAGTCCCTAACACAAGGCAGGTGCTCAGATCATTCTCGTCCATTTTCTCCCTCCCACTAGGACATAAGGTCCATAAGAAGCTTAATCCATTCTGGTTTACTGCAGGCTCCTCTGCCAACTCCTAAGACAGTATTTAGAACATAGAGATGCTCAATAAACATTTGCTGAATAAATGAAGAGAATTTCTTACCAAGTTCCTGGGGTTCCCACATATAAGGATCAACCCCTCCATAACTGAAAGACTCATATCCTTGGCTCCCTGACTCTGCTCGGTCATCTCCTTCTCGTTTCAACAGCCTGTTCTTTGCTTTTCTAGCCTTCTGGACAAAACCTTGAAAAATGGAACAAACACCATAAATGACTCCGTAAAGAACACCCAGTAAAGAATGGAGGAATACCTCAAAACACAAGAGTTGAAGAAATAATTATGCTTTGTATAAAAATGAAATTTGTGAATCCCAAATAAAATGCAGTAATAGGCATTCAATAACTATATACAAATACCAGAGCAATCCATTTGCTTGTCAGTATTAGGAGTAAGTTGTTTTATGTAGACAATATACAGCTAAATTACTATTCATTGCCAAATGTAAGAGGTCCTATTCAACAGAAGTGTTAAAATTAAATTCAGTGAGGGGCCAGGATAATGGAAGTTTATTTTTCTACATCTTAATTGGGGAGGTGGTTACGCGAGTATATACAATTTTCTTTTTTTTCCTTTTGTTAATCCTCACCCGAGGATATCTTTTCCATTGATTTTTTTTTTTTTTTAAGAGAGTGTGGAAGGGAGGGGGAGAGACAGAGAGAAACATCAATGTGAGAGAGACACATCAATTGCTTGCCTCCTGCATGTGCCCCAAATCAAGCCTGCAACCCAGGTATGTGCTCTTGAGTGGTAACTGAACCTGAGACCCTTCGAGCGCAGGCTGACGCTCTAACCACTGAGCCAAACCAGATAGGGCTATAAAATTTTCAAAGTTTACTGAATTGTACACTTAAAAACTTATGTGTAAACTATACCACAATTAAAATTAAGTTCTTTAAAATCAAATTTTACAGTACTAATGTATTTACTCTAGGGACTCATGAGTAAACACTTCTTGTTTACCTCCAGGATGAGATTCAGCCAAACCATCATCCCTGGGCTGCTGTTCTCCATAATGCTTAACTGTACATAGAGTTCTTTTTCCTCCACTCACTTACCAAATGTATGTGTGAGAATACTGACAAAAAGCTTCAAGAAACAGATATAACACCTAAACAGATATAACAGATATAACACAAAGATATATAACAGATATAACAGATATAACACAAAGAGAACTAGACTTGGTAAAAAGAGAATATGAAGGTTTCCTGAATTGATTCCTTGTATGTACCAGGCACAAAGCAAAGTACTTTCAAATACATTATGCAGTTCGTGCTCATTGTGAGGCAGGAGGAATCCCTACTTACAAATAAGGACATGACATCAAAGAAGGCAAAAGGATCAGAGTTTATAGGCACCAGGGTTAGAACTGGAAACCTTATGTCTGAAACAAGAGCCCGTTCTCCCAGGCCAGCACTGATTTGAAAACTATGCATCCATAGAACAGGGATTCAGTCATCTGAGCTGAGGTGAGAAGGTGTGCTGTTAAAATGGAACCACCGCCAACTGGTGGGGAAAAGAATTCTCAATTCTAAGTTGCTCTCGTTAATGTTCTTAAATCGTGGGTGACTGCTATCCCTTTCTGCCACTAGAATCCAGTAGAGAATATCAGATTTAACACAATATGATATAATTTCTTTTACATTTAAAAGATCAATACTTCATGGAGTCCCCTTGATTTTGAAGTACTCTTATCACTTGAATAACATTAAAAACATTCCTATTGCTTTTCAAATGTAAATGCAGATATGGCAGGGCTTGACAGGCAGGGGGTGAAATTAACAAAGTTATAGAAATGTCTCTATTAGAAATTCAGGCTAATAAGCAGATTCTCTGATTATCAGTCACTCTGGGATGGCTTTCTCCAACTGGAAAAATAAGGTCCACCAGAACTAAAGGACACCCTCTAAATATATTAAAGTGGTCTTTTTAACAACAGGGGAGAGGAAAGTACCTGGTGCTTTGGGTCTAGCAGACAGGAAATTGGAGTTAGCAAACACCAATTCATTTTTTGCAAACAAGACTAAACTGTGTGAAGTTAAATACTCAGTCCATGCCATGTAACCTTTAGGAGGCATAGAAAACAGCCTGGGCCAGCTGGCATGGCTCAGTGGTTGAGCGCTGACCTATGAACCAGGAAGTCACAGTTCGATACCCAGTCAGGGCACATGCTCCGCTTGATCCCCAAAAGGGGGTGTGCAGGAGGCAGCAGATCAAAACGATTCTCTCATCATTGATGTTTCTATCTCTCTATCCCTCAATTAAAAAAAGAAAACAACCTGGCAACCTTCCCAGGATGGGTGTAACCCTCCAAGAAGAACCAATTAAGAACAATCTCATGTTTTTAACACATGCAAAGCCGAAGCCAAAGTTAATTCTCAATCACCTTCTCTTCTACGTTACCGTAGATGAGCTAAACTAAAGCCTACCTGGGGCTGGGGCCCAAACACATTGACCACTTTTTAGTAATGACAAGTTTATATTTTCCTTTTCTTTTTTTTTATTTTATTAATCCTCACTCAAGGATATTTTTTCCATTGATTTTTAGAGAGAGTGGAAGAAAGGGAGGGAGGTGGGATGGGGAGGGGGGAAGAGAGAGAAAGAGAGAGAGAGGAAGGGAGAAACATCAATGTGAGAGAGAGACATCAATCGGTTGCCTCCCGAAAGTTCCCTGAAACCCAGGTACGTGCCCTCGACCAGAAATCAATCCACTACCCACCGGTATGTGGGCCAACATTCTAACCACTGAGCCACACCAGCCACGGTGAGTTTATATTTTCTTATTTAAACTGCCTCCAAAACCTAAAACCAAGGTTTACCCTTTTGGTTTTAACATTTCACTTGCTTAAACTAGCACAATGTCATAAAACTTCTAAAAAATCAAAAGACCAAATGGAGAGGTGATCTGCTTTTCAAAGAATTTCTCAAAAACTTTTATATTCATCTTTAAAACTTTATTTTCCTGATTCTTAAACACAGAAAATACAGCATAATTAAGAACTCCTTCCTGACTAAAGAATGCTTAACTCAATCTCTTAGTTCTTGTGAAACAGAGATGGGAGGAAATGGAGGGAGAAAAACAAGTGAATACTCTGAAGTTTCTTTCACAAGGAACAAAATTTCCACTCTAGTATTCTCTAAACAGATTCTATATCTATTATTCCCTAAATAATCTTCAACATTTTTCCTCTAATAAAAAGGAAATTATAAAAGGAATCTGAGGGCATTCTATAAACTTTCAAACCACTGGCATCAAAGTGCTGGTGATATTACAGTATATGACCCAGTTCAGCTGACACTAAGTCTGGACACTCATTGATAATTATGAAGGTCCTTCAATTATCCAAAGGAAACCTAGGTAATCTGTTTGTTTCCCAGCTGCAGTACATGCAGTGATGCCATGTGGAAAGAGTAGCATCAGACTTAGAGGTGATAGAAGACCTGGGTTCAAAGCCTAGCTCTGCCAATTCCTGTGTGACCTTGGATAAGTTATACAACATCTCTGAGCCTCAAATTTTTCTCTGTAAAGTGAGACCAACCACCTTGTTACAGGGTTGCTGGGAGAGTCAAATGAAATAACATATGTAAAAGAACTCCGAAAACCATAAAGCACAAGTTGGGTGTGGTGTTTTTTTTGGGGGGGTGGCTTCCTAATAGTTATAGCTCTGCACCAGCCTCTACAGTCAGGACCCACGTGGTCCATCACAGCCCTCAGGATTTTGAAAATGTTTTACGTTGTCATGTTTTTAGACATAAGTGTCAATGTTTTCAGCAACTCTTTTTTTCTGAACTAAAAAAATGTGACATAGAGTGTGACTATTTGATTATAGGGTGCATGTGACTCCCATGTGTGGAGGCCAAAGTACACTTAGGAATACATGAAAAGTCCTTTCTCCCACCCAACGAAGATCTGTGAATACAGCATCCAGATCTTTTGTCTCATTGCCTTCAGAAATGCTACCAGCTGTAAGGTTGGCTGAATCACAAAAAAGTGAGTTCCAGAGCAGCAGCACTATATTTAGGGATTAGAATCTGAAGTCCAGGAAATGAATATTATGTATAGTTAAAATTACTTTGAAAAATTCTTTTGCAACTCTCTAGGACCTGAATCCCGAGAAGCTCAAAACCCAAGTGTTAACATTTTGCGTTGTCTTTCTTTGCTTTTCAACTATGACCTTCCTTTTCCTGGGCTGCAGAAGACAAGGTCTAGCTGAAGAAAGGAGGATGGCAGGAAGGCTTGAATTGTGACAAGTAAATGAGTCAACAATGTGCCTCCACTTTCATAGCAAAAGAAAGGAATTCCACTCCAAAACCTTCTTAGGCTGGCAAGTAGATCATTTAAACAGTCTAGCAAGAGACAGAAGAGCACAGTAATTGTGTTTATTAAGTTCAAAGCCTAGCTCTGCCTAACTGTGTGACTTTAGGCAAGTTATCTAATCTCTCTGAGTCTGATACCCTCATCAATAAAATGGGACTCACAGACACAGCTATTATGGGGTTTAAATGAAGTTAATACATGGGAAGACCTTGAACAATGCCTGGCACATGGTTAGCACCAGATTTATGTTTGTGAATATTATTAATTTATGATTATCATGTTCTTGTGGCAACATGGAAGCTGATGAAAATTATCCCATGAGTTAAAGATCCCACTGACAGAATGGGATAAGCAAGATCCTCCCCTCTTACTTTTAATTTGCCCTCTGACATCACGGTCTTCCCCGGAGTGTTCTTCTTCATAATGTGACTGAAGCTGATAGAAAGACTGCAGGTCCTTCAGGCACAAAGGGCAGAGGAAGCCCTCCCGCACTTCCCCTGGGTCATCCAGAGAAGCCATAGGAGTATCCCTCTCAACCCCCACAATGCAGGGGCCTCATGTCAAGAGTCAGCTTGAGTCCTCCACAAGGAACAGGGCTCCCGCAGCATTAGCTTAACCAAGCAGCACACAGATGATGGGAAAGTGGCATCGTGGCCCTGGATGAGGTTTCCTCTCTGGAGCAAGAGAAACCTTGAGAAAGGAAATAAGAGGGGTGGGGGGAGCCAATCAGGCAAATTAGCAGCAATTGAGAATTTTTTGTTATTTTTTCACAATTCAACAAAAGTTTGAGGCCTGCTTTCTCAAATCCTTAGATGAAAACACAAAACCTAAGATATGAAAACATCACTAGACAATGGCAACTAGGAAACAGATCCTTGATGATAAGAAAGGAAAATTCAACTTCAACAGCAAACACAATATTAAGGCAATTCTCTTAACATTTGTTCCAAATGGTCCAACTTCATAAGTTGTACACCACAGAGAAAATGTCTGAAGTACTTATCAACAAACAGAAGTTTTTCTTTGACTCTCTGACCTTGATCATTTATTCAAACATATATATTGAGCTCTTGCACCTGTGTCAAAAATGCAACAATGAAAAAGAGATTGTGTTGCCCTAATAAACAAAATTAAAACCAAACCAAACAAAAATCCCAACCTCAGTCTAAGGAAGAGCATCAGAAACCTAGTGGTCAAAAAGAAAAATTTCTTTTGTGTCTTATATTTGCAGAGCACTTTCACTCCAATGAACTTACTAGATTTTATAAACCAGTAAGTGACAGTTGAGCAGGAAGCCTAATGTTCTCACTGCTTCAAAAATAAAAAGACTTGGTGTTTAAACAATTCAAGGCTTAATAAGTTACATTTTCAGTTTTACTGGGCCCTGGCAAAGTCACTTCCAATGTCACCTCCTCAGAAAGACTCCCAGTCATAAGGAGAACCCAGACAAAACCATTCCACAAATGCAGAGAAATTCCTCCCCAAGAGCTGGAGGCCAGAAACCACAGTAGAGAGTGAGGGGGGAATGTATGACCTTCAGCTTTGGGTGAACTTGCCTACAGGGTCACTGAGGAGGGACTGCCTGGTCCTCAAAGCTGAAGGAAGACAGTGACCCAGAAAATAAACAAATGAAACACCAGGCCCCTGTTTTTTTTCCTCTAGCTAAGAAACCCAGTGACTATATACAAACAGATCTCAGCCCCTTTACCAGGTAATCACTGATATAGCAGCTCCAGTTCCCTCCCCAGCCAGTGGCTCATCTGAGCTTTAACTCTGACAGCCCCCTTCCTTCCTGTGCACTCACCCCTAAGAACCTCAAATCAAACACACACACAGCTTTCACATCTGATTCCAAACTCAGTTCCTCAAGGAAATGCCATCTGACAGCCCCTGCACTTCTCCTTTACAGCACTGATCTCAATTTATAGTCAGAAGTATATAAAGTGGCTGAATACGTAAGACTGTAAGCTCTGTGAGGGCAGAGACTGTATCTATTTTCCCCACCACCATTTCCCCAAGGTCTAGCCCAGTGGCCGGCACAAACCATGATGAAATTCAACAGAACTCTAAGATCATATAACCAAACATACACCATAAACCAAAGAACTCTACCACAAACCACCAAACCAAACCCCACAACTATAACATATAAAAGCCTTCACACTCTAAACAGCGTAAAAATAAAAATAAAACCTACCTATCTCGCACATCTATACCACCAGCCTGAATGCTACGCGGCCACATCCCGATTAGACTACACATCACACAGCACCACTCCTCAGGGCCTCAAAACCGCACACGACCCGTCTCACCACGACTATGCACACGGCGCAAAACCACACACCACCACAGAAAGACCCAACCCCACAGAGCAGACGTGACAACTTCACACATGGCACAGACACCACGCAAAACGCTACATACGACCTCACGCAAACTCGGACCCAAATACAACCAACCACCAGGGAGACGCCCGCCCCCCGAGCCCTCCGCCGCACTACCATACACAACTGTTCACGCCCCGTCTAACCACACAACGAAACAGAGTCCACTCAAGGCAAGCACAAGCCCGCGAGCTGTACGGCCCGAAAGCCACATCGCCCCCCACGCACGTCACACCCACCACGACCACACCATCCCACACCCGCACGGCTCCCCCGGCTACGTGCCTGAGGGAGCCGCGCCCCCCGCCCCCCACGCCAGGCCCGGCTCGGCCCGGCCCTCCGCACCTGCTCGGACTTTCGCGGGCTCGCGGGCCTGTGCAGTCCACCGCCCAGGCTCTGGGCCTCCACTGTTTCTCACACCGCAGCGGACGCCATCTCCATCGGCTGCTCGGCACTCGGCAGGAGCGCCTGCGGCGGCGTCGAAACCGGAAGGCAGGCTGACAGACGTCCGCCGAGCGCCGAGTCCTCGAGGGCAGCCAGGGGGCGGAGACGGACGTCCGGCCGCCCCGGGAGCTCACGGACCGAGCGCGGAAGCCCCTCTGCTCCCGGTGGGCAGGTGGGGCAGCTGGACGCGTCCCTGCAGGAATTCTTTAACTGTTGACCAAGGTGTGCAATGAATGAGGCAGCAGGGGCGGGGGTGGCGTCTTTGACACCGCCTGCCCCACCCCCAACTTCAGTTCTAAATTAATTCGAGTCAAAGTTCCTGAGAGCTAGAGAGAAAAGGAATATTCAGGAGACTCGGAGGATGTGGAAACACTCGTGTTAGAACCACAGGAGCGCGGGGACTTAGCGGGAGTAGCCATCCGGAGGGTGTACAGTGTGGTCAAATCTGCGGCATTTTCAAATGCAAATAAAAACCACAATAAGAGGTGCAGGAGGAGGAATTGCAGAAAGGTGGTCAAAAGGTACAAGCTTCTAGTTATAAGATATAGAAGTATTAGGGATGTAACGTGTCACATGATGACTAGAGCTAGCACTGCTGTATGATAAGAATAAATCCTGAGTTCTCATCACAAAGAGAGAAACATTTTTTTGCTTTTTTTTTTCATACCGATAAGAGAAGGTGGATGTTAGCTGAATCTATTGTGGTAATCGTTTCACAATATATGTAAATCAAATATATGTGCATCGTGCTGTATGTCTTTAAACTTTTATACAGTGATGTATGTCAATGATTTCTCAATAAAACTGGGAGTAAAACTCCCACAGCGTATGGTATAATTCCCACATGGACAAAACAACAATAAAAAAAAACCCCACAATGAAATATCACCTCACACCTATTAGAATGGCTATTAACAACACAAGATAACAAGTGCTGGCAAGGGTGTAGAGAAAAGGGAGCCCCTGTGTCCTGTTGCTGGGAATGTAAATTGATGTAGCCACTATTGAAAACAGTATGGCGGTTCCTCAAAGACTTAAAAATAGAGCTACCATATGATCCAACAATTCCACTTCTGGACATTTAGCTGATGAAAATGAAAACACTAACTCAAAAAGATATATGCCCCCCCACACACACACATTCATTGAAGTATTATTTACAATAGCCAAGATATGGAAACAACCTAAGTGTCCATCCATTGATAAAAGGATAAAGAAGATGTAATATATTTATTATATATTACATAATAAAATGGAATAATTATTCATATGTGAATGAATATTATTTCATTCATAAAAAAGAATGAAAGCTTGACATTTGGGACAACACGGATGGAGTTTGAAGGCATTTATGCTAAGTGAAATAAGTCAGAGAAAGACAAATACCATATGATTTCACTTATATGTGGAATCTTGAAACACACACATGTACACTGTACACCTGAGCTCATAGATACAGAAAATAGATTGGTGGTTGCCAGAGGGAGGTTGGAGGGTGGGGAGCTAGAGTGTGGTTCCACCTCTGAACAGGGCACTGATTATGCTGGGCCTCCATTACCTTCCACTTAAGGATATGGGGCTCCCAGGAGCATTAAGATTTTGGAAGGCAATCACCAGTGGAAGGGCGGTGAACTAGGGGTCCAAAGACCTGGGTTCTAGCCCTGGCCATGACTTTCAACAGGCCTCTTCACCTCCTGGGCCTCAGCTTTCCCATCTCCATAGATAAAATGGGTTCCAGAGACTTTTAAACTTTATTTTTTCAATCTGATAGGCCCAATTTTTTTTTTTTTTAACTTTACAGCGTTGGCAGGAGTGGAAAATGACTCCCCTTTGTGTATTGGCACAGACAAGAGATTTGCCAACCTGTCAAAGCAAAACAACAGACCCAGGTCTGCCTCTCTATCACTAGGTCCTGCCTTGGCTCCTAGTAGCCAGGACTTGGGGAGTGAAAACAACTTTTTGAATGTCTGGAGCTGGATGAGCCCCAGAACTGGCCATGAATATAGCCAGGTGATCACCTTTTATTAAACCATCATGATTTTGCCTGTCATTCTATCATTTAGAAAAGCCAGTGTCACATTCACATTCACCATTTCATTTGCTCGAAAAAGTAGCAATGTGGCCTATAACTTAGGAACTAATTGTGGAAATCATGATGGATCAGCCGCTGACATTCTATTGATATTTTTGAGAATGATGGTGGCAAAGACCTTCTTATATGCTTTACAGTTTATCAAAATCACTTTCATTACCTAAAATTTTGAGGCAATTTTATTGCTGGTTTCATTTTAATAATAATAATGATTAATGTTTACTGAGTGATTCACATATGCCGGTTGCTGTTCTATGTGTTCTACATGTCTTAACTCATTGAATTCTTATATAACCCTATGTAGTACAAACTAATATTGTTCTCACTTTATAAGTGAGAAATCTGAGGCACAGAGAGGTTAAGTGACTTGCCCAAGATCACATAGCTGGTATGTATTGAATCCAGAGTCATCTTGTCTTGAGACTTTCATAGTTCCCACTTTTCCTTCCTCTGTGAAGGCCTGATCTTTGAGCCTTCCTGCATCTCAGCATTTTCCAGGGACCAGCCATGTACTAAGCATAGAGATAGAGAGTGTGAAGAGAATCAGAATCAGGCAAGATGTTCTCAGTCTTCAAGGAGGCTACAGCTGGCAGAGGATACAGCAGTTCATAAGCCAATTAGTTTGAGAGAGAGAGAGAGAGGGAGAGGGAGAGAGAGAGAGAGGTGCACATGTGTGAAGATGCTCTGGCATCAAAGAGAAGGCTGATAAGATCCCCTGTAGCAGTTAGGGAAGGGTTCCCAGAGGGGGATGAGNAGAGAGGGAGAGAGAGAGAGAGAGGTGCACATGTGTGAAGATGCTCTGGCATCAAAGAGAAGGCTAATAAGATCCCCTGTAGCAGTTAGGGAAGGGTTCCCAGAGGGGGATGAGCAGNGAAGGCTGATAAGATCCCCTGTAGCAGTTAGGGAAGGGTTCCCAGAGGGGGATGAGCAGAGCCCTCAGGTAGAAATGATCGAGAAGGGCCTTCTGGGCCAGGGGAACAGCATATGCAGAGGCATGGTCATAGGGAAGGACATATGTCCTTTGAGAAACTTAGAAAAATTAATTAACACTTGGAGTGATAATATTTAGGCATGCCTCCTTTTTCCAAGCACTACAGGGAGCCACTTCTAATGGTAGAATCTTGGGTAGCTGGCTCTTTTCACCTTTGCCTTCCACCTTAAGGTTCTCCCTGTCTCTCTCTGTCTCTGTCTCTCTCTGTCTATCTTTCCTTCTCTCTATCTCTGTCTCTCTCTCTTTCTGGCCCCTTATTGTCTAAGCAGCACAAGATGTCTTGGCATCACACTGAAATCCCTGAGCAGGAAAGGGAAATCATGATGTAGGTTAGTGTATGTCTGGGGAAGGTGTGCAGCACAGCATGTAACTCCCCAAAGATCTGGCTTCCCTCCAGGCTGGCCCAAGCCCCAGTTCCCCAGGCCTCTGCCAACTGCTGCTGTGGTCGTGAGCAGACAGGTTGAGGGGATAGAGCTTGGCATACCCCATCCACTGGCACAGGAAAATGAGAGTAATGACGGAAGGACTGGCAGGGCCCAGGAGGGCAGGGCCTGGTCTAGAGAATTGGCAAAGGGTGTGCCAGGCTGGGTGGTGGCCAGGAGAAGCAGGTGGCAGCTGTTCAGGATCAGGAAGGAAGCCGAGAATGGAGGAAGGGAAAGAAGGAAGGAAAGGAAGGAGAGGGAGAGAAGCCAGAAAGGGAAAAGGGAGACAAGAAGGACAAGAAAAATTTTAAGAGATAGTCAGGTATCATGATTATAAGCACAGACTGCAGAGCCAGTCACCAGAACTTGAACCCCAGTCCTGTAGCTGTGTGATCCTGGGTGAGTCAACTTAAATTATCTGAGCTTTAGTGTCCTCATATGTAAAATGGGATAATAATAGTGCCTACCTTCTAGGCTGGAGAATTAAATAGATTAATATTTGGAAAGTGCTAGAATACTGCCTGGCACATTGAAGGACTATGTAAATGTTTGTTAAATAAAGAAAAGGGAAGGGAAGTGTCATTCAAATGCCTTGGCAGTTGTGTCAAGCTGAGTCAGACACTGCCATAGGAGGTGTGAGGATCCTATTTGGTATCATGGAAATATGTTTGAGCGTCATGGCCCTGCCAGATGGGAACCGAGAATAGAATCAAATAGTAACTACATTCATTGAATCCAGAGGGGCAATGGGGTGAGGAGTGGCAGCCTCAACAGGCCTGAGAAGTAGGAAATATGGGATTGACTTGGGGGCATGTGAGCTGCCAGGCCACCCAATTTGCAGGTCATGGGCTGGGCAGTGCTACTGCCATCCTATAGGGGCCTTTGGTGAAGGCCCTCCTCCTTCCAGCAAATGCAGCCCCCGTGCCAGGACTCAAGCCCTGTCCTTGATGAATTGGTCATGAACTAGATTACTATCCCCATTCACCCCCTCGACTGTGCCGTACACACGTACAAGATGATCCCAGGGCCAGGGACAAGAATAAAAGGCTCAGCAAGGTCCTCAGGTCATGAGAAGAAATCACACTGGTTGCCCTGGCCAGTGTGGCTCAGTTGGGTGAGCATCATCTTGTGCATGGAAGGGTCGCTGGTTCAATTCCTGGGTAGGGCGCACACTCAGGTTGCAAGTTTGGTATGATCAATGTTTCTCTCTCATGTTGATTTTTCTCTTTCTCTCTCTCTCCCTCTCCCTTCCTCTCTCTCTAAAATCAATGAAAACATTTTTTTAAAATCACACTAGTTGTCACACTGGCTGTCAGCTTCAGATCTTATTCCTCTGAGCTAACTCTCTGGAGATACGTTGAGACGTTAACCCCAGTTCCAACTCAGATTTGTACATGTGGCATTTTAAATATTTAAGGCATTTAAGAGAGCTTGATGTGTAGAGCATCTAACACATTAGTCTTGTGACTCCAGTTTA